AACGTTTTCCGTTCACGTTTAGGTTGTGAAAAACAGTGCAAGCTTAAACTCCCTATTATCATAATTGGGAGTGTGTCAGTGACTCATTTGTGACTGTCTTTTTTGCATATACTATCACATGAATTTAAAGCTTACACCTCCTCTTTAAGAATTAACGTTGTAGTCTCATATGTTAGAAAATCTCAAAAATCAACAATACATCGAATATCAGTTTTAAACGAGGGTGTCTATGTACTTGACAAAGGCGCTCTCACTACTACTGTTATCAACTTGTTTTTAAAAGGACCGTGGGTTGTTTGTAGATTGAATCAGGGGAGTTTTTTCATGCATTTCCCCTTTTTCATCTAAAAAACATCAATGCACTTTAAAACATTTTATTGACTATAATATTGCACAAAATCATCCCAAAAAATATTTCTCATTTTCAAGGATTATCTGTGGATTAACACCCAGGTATTTTTATTTTTCAATCTTCAGAGGGCTGGATTCATTGATTACGACTACCTATGAATAATATAAATGCTGTTTTAAATAGGTTTCATGTATGCCAATAATTTCTCAAATTTTGTAAATGCCTACTAAATGGTACCCATTCCTTAATCCCTAGAATTTTTTTCTTTGAGGAATTCCCCATAGTAATCCAATTGGTATAGTTCCAAGCAAAGTTTGAGATAACAGAAAAGACAATCATTACACACCTTGTTGGGTTTAAAATCCCCTGATTCCTTCCACAAACAACTCATGGTCCTTTGTCAATCTTCCTACTTAAAAAGCTCGTTATATTAGTCGATGCAAATCAGATAAACTCTGATTTGTGGGATATGGCCCAGGTTCATTTTAGCAGCATTTCAAACTAAAAATAAATAATATTATCTGATCTTGATAGCACTGTACTATATAAAGCATGTAAAGAAACGTGTCCAGATGTTTCGTTACCTTGGTCCAATTCAAGTCAAACTTGAACGTCTTTAACATGATGAAAGTGTTATATCTAGCTCTGATCTTGGCATGCAGGTATGTACGTGAAAAATATAGAAGTTATTTAATAGGAGGGACGGAATATGAATTTCATTCCGAGGGAAAAATGATATTGGCCAAGGAAAACATCATATTGGCAGGGCGACAGCCTGAGTCCAGTGTCAATATGATATTTTCCGTGGCCAATATCATATTTCCTCGAGGGAAAATTCATATTTCATCGACAATATCTTATTAAAGTATGTTTAAGTTGTTATTTTCCGAATTATTTGATTGAAAACGTGCATTTCAATGAATATTCTCGATTGAAAACTTAAAAAGGTAGTGGAATTGCATCCGAACGCGGGGCTCTAGACAATCAGAGAGGTTTCGCACAACGGATGAGCTAAAACGTATCCGCATCCGTTTCTCGTTACGTTTACGGATACGTATTTCGCAGTTCGTTTTTTGAAGTACGTAATTACAAACGCATCTCAATCCGTGTTTAATAGTGTGAAAACTAGGATCAAATAAAATACTTCATCTGCACTAAGATTACAATACACTATTGGGAGTGTCAGCTTTTAGAATCACAACTTTTTGGTGAATGCAAAAATACATATAACCCTTTCTTTCCCAAGGGGTCATTTATTAATTTCATGAAATCGATTTCAAAATCAGGAATATCCCTTAGGCCAGAAAAGATTATTTTTAGGTTTGCAATAACCAATTCAGTGTTAAATTGTACTTTCGGGAATATTTAGGGGTTTGAACACAGATAGGCTGAAATAGTGGTCATTAAGTGGAGTGCAATGACTGCATTATGCTACAAAATGCTTAAACATTTCTGTTTTCGGTAGAAATGATATTTGATATTCGAAATTAGTGTGTACATAATTGCGTTTACTTATTTTTTCCTGACAATAAATAAGAATGCAGCAAGTGCGTTTTGACTTAACATGAAAGCATGCACGCTTGACGTTACATCATATCATATCCTCATTATATTTTTAAATATGCCCTTATAAGTATACTTATCAATGCTATAATTAGTTCCAAATGAGCACACGCAATCTTAACATATGTTAGATGTGAATCACTATGTCATATCAAGCTTGAGTGAAATCGATCAAGCCAAATATTTGACCTCTATTGCAACGCCTATTTACTCATATAGTATATTTTTATTTCACTCAAAAGTAGAATTGCATCTTATGCATAATGTCTATTATGGAGTGATTCCAATAAATAGTTTCTTAGACATAACAAACCATATAGACATTTGTAGCCTGGTTTTAAACTGTGTGAGAACGGAACGAACGTAGCTGCATTTTTCCAAGGTCTATTTACGAACCTCATGAACTTTCTCAGACGGGAAGGTGATTTTAGAATTTTGAATCGATTCAAAATTCGATGGCGACCAAACCGTTCTGTAATCAGGTCATGATGACCTTCTAGACTAAGGGACGCGTTACGACGTTTTCATAGGACTGGCAAGAACGGGTAAGAACTAGTTTGATGTGATAGGGGGGTTAATTACATGTTTTTGCAGCTGTATATTTTGGTAATAATACAAAATCAGATAAGTAAAAAATACCGACTTGGTGGAAGCAAAGTGACAAATTTGATTATAGAAAGTGATATCATTTATGCAGTAAAAGAGTATATCTCCCCCGTTTTGGACGAAAAATCAACAAAAACTATATTATGTAAAAAGATAAATTAGCATTGTTTTTCTTGGATTCATTGAACAACAGGAGACCCCCTCATCAGAGAATCAGAGAACGACGCAAAGCTAACGCCCAGCATACCAGTTGAATATCTCACACAAGAGATTGCATTATATACATGAATGAATACATGTAGGTACGTACCAAACCTATAGCATACAAATAATGCGCACAAACATATTAATATACCCTTTCATTCTACCCAGAATCAACTGATATACCAACAACATAATACCATAAACCGGCCATTTGTATCTTAACCCAATAATACACCACGACCCGATCGAGCACAGCCAGTAACACGACTTAAATAACCTATTACAAACAAACACAACCTAGATCACCAGTCATACAACAGTACAATAGAACATAACCCAGTGACAACATACACAGAACGCAATAGAGCATAACCCAGCACCAAAGCCAGCATAGCGCAACCTGACTTACAACCATCAAAACACAACCAAATGTCAAATTAACACAATATGTCACAAGCCAATGATAAAACAACACAGACGAACACAACAAATTGTTGAATTAACTCAACACAATTGTGCACAACCCAACACTAAACAATCAGACACAACCAATAAAACACAACTAAACTAACAACCTCGAAAACACAACGAACTGTGAACTTATCACCACACAATTTGGCACACCCCAATGATAAACCAGCAAAACCAAACACAACCCATTGTTCAAGTAACAAAACACAATTTTCCAAGACCCAAAACCAAACAATCAAAACAAAATTAGGCACAATCAATAAAACACAATAAACTGTAAGAGACATCGCCAATCACACAACACAATCAGACACAACCAGATACCACACCCGACTAGCCACAACCAGCTACCCAACCGACATAACATATTCACAAGAGAACACTACCCATTATAAAATTAACATGACACAACTGGGCACAACCCGATACTAAATCACCAGACTAATAACCATCAAAAGACAACCTCAAGACTCTCAAACTGACACAACATAATTCGACAAAACCTATACCTACCTGACAGTAACCCACCATTACACAGGCTCCATTAAATACCAGGCTCAACTAAATACTAATCGATTTATATCTACTTGAATAACAACCACCCCCCCCCCTTTCCTTTCCATATCATCACAAGGCTGCTGATGAAGAACATATCATGGACCACCACCCAAGAGTTAGAAACATCTGGGCCACTACCATGACTCATATGTAATAGAGAAGGACCGTCACAGGATCGGGATGTCAGGCCTTTCAAAAATGAAAAATGAAAATCGTAAATGACACGCCAATATCATCATCCTCGGATCAACTAAATATACTCTAACTGTCACATAATCACTGACGGTGGTTCGGGGAAGCTTGAGCACTAAGGCTTAGAGCACTATCCTAGTCCCCCCCCCCCCCACTTAAAATCAATCTTGATGGCAGATAAGCCATCATCAAATTAGCACAATATACATGATAACACATGTGGGTTACTAAAAGTATACATTTTGGGGAAAAGTTATCAAGATTTGAAGGGCAAAATAGATACGGAAACAACAACGCACAGAAAGCGTTAGTTTAAGTACTTTCGGTATTGCTGTCGTAAGACAAACGTATTAAGTACACTTTTACTCCATCGATGCGTTACGGATTTTGATACGGGTAGCTAAAACGTAAGAGGGGGAGAAACCCCAGGGTTCAAAGATGACATACGCTTATAATGTAAATCTGTATTGAGATGACATCGTCGCTGATTGGTTTAGCGAGTCGATCGTTGATTGGTTTAAAACGAGGTCAGTTTGAAAACTTTGAAAGCCAAGATGGAGGGTAAGTTTTCGACAAAAGGAGGTGCGCGAAGGAGAAAATCACATGTCATTAATTGAATCATGGGGTTTTCCCTCCTCTTCTAAAACGTTGTGCGAAACATGTACACTGTAATTATTGCGATACCAATCCATACAGTGTAAAATGAATTGAACATACCATTTGAAAAACTCGATTTATGTCAAACAATAAACAAATTAATTCACCAAAATGTCAAATTATACACAACACACTGTGCTTGTTCATATAGTGATACCTTTAGAACTAAAAACAATATATAATCGAAGGATAAAATGGGATACGTAAATGACCAAGTAAAAAAGCCTCATTTTTCGTGTTTTTCGTATCGCTTCACGTATGAATTGAACTGACTACGCATAAATCTGGTAAATGCGTTACTGCTACGGATCCATTGAGCTAAAAAACGTTTTGCGAAACCTCTCTATCATCAACTACCGTACGTTGTTCCTTCTGCCAAGAGGAATTCGAACGAGGTATGAGTTTCGGAGGTCTGTGTTCGGAGGATGCCTTCCTTGATTACACCGTGTTCGATTCCAGCCACGCAGAGGAGATTTGCTCACCACCATGTGGATGTTTTAACAACGATGACGAGCCATTCGTTGATACAGATCTACCAGAAACATGGGAGACGCAAGGATTGCAGTTTGAATTATACACACCAGAAAATCCCGATACTCATGTTGACATCCTTTGGGACAACATTCCGTAAGTATTTGTTGATTGGACTGCAAGCGCTTAAAATAATCTACGGGCGGCTTTTAGTTTTCGGGCAATTTATCTGGCGCATTTCTGAAAAATTCCAAAGATCTGTTAGCTGATCCTTCCTGCATCACTTTTTAAAATGTATTTCAGTCACACTTTCAGAGGCCTGGAACACGTACACGATCAGTGACATAGGATTGATTTATTTTTACTGATGCCCTCGCCCTAGGGCCAAACGTACAAAAAGTGTGTGTTCATGTTCAACTACCGGATCCTTGCATATTTTAAAAAGTCGGTAATGGGTTGATGTATATTAATCTCTCTGTATCTTAAGATTGTGAGCACTTATCCGTAATCTAGTGAGATGTTAAGAATTAGAAAAGGGCATTTCTGAAAGATATTGTTCATATCCAAACTGCGGTTTTAGTTGTTTATATAACCTAGGTTTCCCCTTATTTCCGTTGATATATTTCTTCCACATGTTTTATACTTAATTCTCTATTAGTTCCTTTTTTACTTTAATAGCAAGTTCATTAACATTCTCTAAATTTACCTTATTTAAAAGGTTAACTCGATCAGTCATTTTTATTTCAATATATTAACGTATATTTCTGATTTGTTTGTGTCATGTAAATGTGTTGTTTGTTGTTTTACTCAACTCCTTGTCCCAAGGTATTTTATTTGCCTTTTTATGATATCAATTGCCAAAGGTGCTGTTCCCAATTTCCCTCTTACTGCCATGTCTGTGGCTTGAACACCGAGAACATGTTTCTGGAACCGAATGTGATTATTCTAAATCAACACGTTTTTGAATATCCGCAGTCATATCACTACATCATATTTCCGAACCGTATAAAGCGACGGGCAGGAGGGCAAGTTCAAAGTTGACGTACGCTTATAATGTAAACCTGTATTGACGTACATCTCTGATTGGTTCAAATCGATAAACAAAAATGGCGGATTCAAAATTTCCTAATAACGCTTCGAATAATAGTAAGTTAATTTCTGGCGTGTTAACCAATATCACAGCTTGTTATTTCTCATCAAGATGAAGAAAGATGTAAGGAGTATGCTATCACGACGACGCGTTATATTCGAAAACTAACTGGTGAGAATTTGCGCAAACGAAGGTGGTACGCAAGAGCCGTAATATGTCAGTCATTGTTAAAGCTCTGGTCACATTTGCTCCGATTTTCACTACGGCGCCCGGCCGATTGAGTATTTTCTTTAGAAATGTATTCAATTTTGAACAAAATACTCAATTTGCCGGGCGCCGGCTGATGAATCGCAGCAAATGTGGCCCAGGCATTAGAGACGGGTTTGATAAGTTGATCGTACAATTTCATTTTGACTTGACACGCTCGCTTCTTTGTAGATCGGAGTACGATCCTAGTAGACCAACACGGTTTATTATTCACGGATGGTGGGGACAGAGTGGGGAACCTGATACATACCCAAGGTTGGTAAAGGATGCACTTCTGGTAAGTGTTACAAAATGTTAACAGACTCATATAGATTACGGAAGTAGCACATGGGGTTAGATCTATATTTCAAACTATCTGGTTTACATGTGAAACGGAAGCATTAATATTGTTACAGTAAGTACTGTATTCATTTCTCTGACAATCCCGGAGACCAGGTGGGGACCAATGTTTCTCTGGTAGATAGCCATCAAAATTGATAAGTTACACGGTTTGGCATGCATTGTACCTGTCCTGGTCGAGATCGCCTTACAAACTTAAAATTTTATATTTATATTCATGTAAATTGTATTTAATGAATTGATCGAATAACACGACATCTATACGACGTCTTATGTATCAGCTCTTTGAAAAGTGAGTGGCAATTCACACACATGCGTATCGTGTTCGTTTTGAAATTTTATGTGTGTATGGACGTGATAATTTTGTGAGCAAATATGAGCAAAAGTAAATATCACCAAAAGGTGCGAAACCAAAACGATGCTCCAAATGTGGAGATTTTGTCAAGGGACATCAAGGCCCAGCAGGCGAAAAATGTGAAGTTAAAATGACAGAAACTATAAAAAATACGGATTTGAAAAATGAAACAATACACGAGGAAACCGTGCAAATATCACCGGAACCTTGGGCTCAGGCGATTAAAACGCAAATTGTTCTTGTTCTGCCTATCAACCTAAACAATTGGGGATTCAAAAACAAAGGAAGATTCCTAAAATACGCAAGAATTTATTGAGGTGTCATTTAAGTTTGTAAGGGGTGGAAAATTCTCTTATTTCGTAATCAGGCGAACAAACTATAGGGATGTTCCTGACACCGTATAAGTATACATTACTGATTTGAATAATCGGGACATACGAGAAGTTTAAATTTCATACATCAGACAACATCCCAAGAATAGCCTGCTTACAGTATGTTCGATATTTTAAAATAATTTCTCGCTGAAAATATCAAGATGGGAATTTGTAGTACCAAACACTAGGACGGAGAGCGTTCACTAATCTAGGATGGGAATGGGATTTGAGTCATTTTTGCCTAAATATCTGAAAACATTTTAAATCTTAGACAAGATACATGTAGGCCTCAACTGAATCATTTGAGGAAACGGGCGTCATTTTTGAAGAAATTGTCGCCAATCTTGAAGAAATTGGCCTCTCGTTTAATAAATGTTGTTGGTGTTTCTTAGGGTTCTGGAGACTACAACGTCATTGTGGTTGAATGGACTGAAGGAGCTTCACACCTCTACTACCCCCAGAGTGCTATGAACACAAGGGTAATTGGCGCATGCGCAGGTCATATGGCTTCCACACTGGTAAGGAAATGTGTTGATTTGGGAAACTGCCATTCTTCAAAGAGCAAAACGAGCACTGGACCATAATTCTCCAAGTTCGCGTCAAGTCCTCTTAAAGACGTGTACCTTAACCACCAAGGATATTTACATAGCCAGCATTGGATAACCGAAAAAGTCGGCTTTTCCCTAAATGTTTAAATGTTGCCTATTTTGCAACATTTCATTTATTAAGAATTTATCCAAAGGTTTTCCACTAAGACCAGATAGGTCACTATTCATGTTTGTGACGTCATTAAGGTGTCGTCTGCTAGTGCAAGTTGGAGCGGCATGCATTGTATCGGTACCAGCCTTGGGGGTCAGACTTGTGGATTTATGGGCGAGGCCACGCGGGCGCAAATGGCAAGAGCTACTGGTAGGTCAAAGATCAAATCCGAAGGACGAGTTTTGATAGAAGAATATTAATGTTGTTCTGTCAGTATTTTGTTAAACAACACTTTTTGTTGATGTTCATACGCGAATCCCTCGCGTAACAGCTACACATTAGATTTAACATAATCATTTGATCTAGCGTTACCCCATCAGATTACTAATAACTTATTACACGCCTAACCATCGACAAGGTACAGTCACGTGACAGGTGACAAAATCTGCCGTAGTACACTTTTGATGTACTATGTCACTATTAACTGATTTTGAGCGAAGACCATGATGTAGGTTCGATGCAGGTTTTCAAAAATAAATTTTAGGAGAACACAAAGGATTTTATGTTTGATTTCGCGTGCATTCGATTTCAAAGACATTTATTTTTCTAATAACGTTAAAAGATCTTCGAGCAGTGCTCGATTTTTTTCGTTGTTAGTCTACCCATACGATTCTTCGGTTGGAAAAATGTTGTTTTTTACACATTTCCTTTGATAATTTTCTCCCCTGACGTCTCAGAGTGTCGAATATTTTTATGAGAATGTGTTTCTCTAAACTACACAGTTTAGGACAGGTGAACATTTAATAAACATTCATGCATTTGATATAATTTAAAAAATCAGAAATGTACGTTGTCAACTCCCAGTGTATGTTGTCCCTGTAATTGAAATACATGGAGTTATAATATTAAACATTGCAATGATTTAATTTCAAAATGCATTAAGGGTTTTATGCGTTACAAGTGATGTTCAACGAAATGCTCCTGTATCCCTAGTACAGATAAACAGGTAAAAGTGATTTTTTCGTTGAATGCTATTTTATTTTATGAAAGTATTAATATGGTGATTAATATGTGACCACGGCGTGTTTTCTTCCGACCTCTTTAACCACTCGACGTCGGTACGTTACGTTATGTTTAGTTGCACTTTTATGAATTTTAATAATCTTAAGGAGTTCATAGAGAGATCTTTACTAGCTAATCCAAGATGACTTTATGCTACAGGGTGTCCCGAAATTATGGGCCCCCATAGGCAGACATATACCAATGTCTCCATGTATGTGTCGTATATCATTTTAAAGCTCATCCAAAGTTACATTAATTTGCCGAGTATCATGGTTCAACTCACAAATGGAAAAAGTTACAGGAATTTCAAAAGTTAGTGTTTGGACAAAATTAAAGTCAGTTTTACACCAAAACAATAGTCGGTGTGTCTCCTTAGCCGCCATGTTAACAGCAGCAATACTTTCCATATATGATCTTAAACTGGCTTCAAATAGGGATATGGCGTTTTGTAATCTTCATAAAACCTTTTTAAGGCATAAGAAGAGTTTCCTTGGAGTATCTACCCTAAACGTCATCTTTTTAGAACTCGATATCGATATATTATCTTCGAGAATAGCATCCATATTTTCTGTCGCATTCAGGTCAGGGCTGTTTCCAGGATACTGAAATGAACTTTTTGGCAAAACGCTAATTTTTGAAATGCCTGTTACTTTTTACCATTTGAACCATCATATTTGGCAAATCAATGTAACTTTGGATAAGCTTAAATATGATATATGACACATACTATGGAGAAATTGGTATATGTCTGCCTAGGGGGGAAAGTGCAGAAGTTCAAAAGCCAGGGTTATGGAATACTAAAAAATTATTAGTAACATTGAAATTTAATCATATCAATGACAATTTTATTGATTAATATATATTAATATTAGAGTAAATTTTTCGATATGCCAGCCCTATTATTATAAATTATTACTTTATTATCAAATATGTTCCTTCTATTACACGTACATTATAGCATTTCATTCATGTAAAATTAACTGTGAATTGAGATCTGTAAGGCCAATGTGACAACATACATTCGAGTTGACAACATACATTATCTGTTTTTCGTAGTAGCATCCAAAGTAAAAAGCGGTTTTGCATTAACTCTGGATGTATATTTGTATACTTATCTTAAGTTGTGTTAGGCGTAGTTTGGCTGTTATTTGCATAGCAAAACAAAAATTAGAGAGAATTTTGCGAAATTCAGTCAAGATTTAGAGATCCCTGACGTACTGGGTAGATCTATAACAAGATATTGAAGTTGCTGAGGATCATTTGAAGTAGATATGCATATTTGCAACTTAATTACAAATCGAATGCAACAACTGCCTGATGATGAACTGACACAATATTGATCAAATCAATTCTAGTTCTTACCTCGCTTCCTCATTCTAGAAAATGGCGATATAAAATGGCGGAAATGACATAGTACATCAAAAGTGTACTACGGCATATTTTGTCACTGTCACGTGACTGTACTTGTCGATGGTTAGGCGTGTATTAGTGATCAGCCAATAGGTTGATCAATTACTACCGGATCTAAGGTTGAGACAGACCCCCTCCGCCTAATGGCTGGGTCACATTTGCTCCGATCCACCGGCCGGCGCCCGGCCGATTGAATGTATTGTTCAATATTGTATTCAATTTTGAACAAAATACTCAATCGTCCGGGCGCCGCACTGAAAATCGGAGCATATGTGACCAAGGCATAACTTTGATCTTTTCCACACGCCTGTTGTAGGTTTAGATCCGGCAGGACCGATGTTCGATGTCACTGACCCAAGGGGAAGAATTGACGCCTCAGACGCTCAATTCGTTGACAATATCCATTCGAACACCAACAACGATTTCATCAACTTGGGACTTGGAAACCCAGTGGGACATGCGGATTTCTACCCGAACAAAGGTGGAATTCAGCCACCATGTGATAGTTTCGGTAACACGTTATTTTTCAATCTATGTCATTGAAATCAAACACGATGAATGGTTGAGAGTTTTTTTTCTTTTACAATGAAATCTATTTAGTCGAACATCTCTCTCTAGAGAACACTGTCCCTAGTGGACACCCTTCCTCCACACATACTCAATATAGGCCATCAGCTTCACCCCAAAATTTAGGTTATCGGTATCAAATCAGGGAAATAATCGCCATAGTGATTTTTGGGAAGGTTAAGACCTCTAGAGTAAGAAACTATGTGATAGCATTGCAACAGTTGTAGCTAAATGGGTGCTATCACCCATTTTTCAAAATGGCCGCTGGTGCACGTGCTACAATATAAGAGTGGGTATATCTAAGCACACTGAGATGCAGAAACTGTGATTTTAGTGCCTATATTAAGGTTTTAGGGGTCAAGGATTTCATTTATGCTGAAATCTAAGTCATCAAGCAATTACTTCTTATAGAAATCCAAGATGGCCACCAAAATGGGTGCCAAAACGAATACCGGTATGTAACCATTGATTTAAGCTCAAAGAACAGTTAAGAACAGTGATTTTGGAGATCATGTCACAGTTCTCGAGTCAAGGATCTCATTTATGTCTAAATCGGAGTCATCAAATAATTACCTTTTCATAGAAATACAAGATGGCCACCAAAATGGATGCCAAAACGAACCGTTATGTAACCATTGATTTAAGCTCGAAGGAGAGTTAAGAACAGTGATTTTGGAGATCATGTCACAGTTCTAGAGTCAAGGATTTCATTTATGTCTAAATTGGAGTCATCAAATAATTACCTTTTCATGGAAATACAAGATGGTCACCAAAATGGGTGCCAAAATGAATATGTAACTATTGATTTAAGCTCAAAAACAGTGATTTTGGAGATCATGTCTTGGTTTTAAGGGTCAATGATTTCATTTATGTCTAAATCTAAGTCATCAAACAATTACTTTTTTTAGAAATCCAAGATGGCATTTGGTGACATTGTTTGGTTAAACAACAATTTTAAATGGAAAAAACATATCCTTTTCTATAAAAACTGGATTAAGTCAGGATTTATATATCTGAAAGATTTTTTTGATGATAAAGGGATTTTTATTAGTGAAAAGTATGTTTTTGACAAGTTGAATGACAAAAGAAATTGGATTAAAGAATATATGATAATTAGAAGTACTATCAAAAAGGCAATGAAAAATATACAGACAAATAGAGCTCAATTCACTAATATATTTTATAAATGTGATTTTATAGTAAATGGAAAATATGAAAAATTAGAAGGAAAAAAGTCAAGGTTTTTCTACAATATATTATAGGAATATCCTATGGTTTTGAAAAAATATCATTTATATCCATGAGTGGATATTGATATCTTTACGAGTGAGCGCAGCGAATGAGTGAAGATATTGATATCCATGAGTGGATATAATTGATATTTTTGAAAAACCATAGGATTGTCCGTTTATCCCATGGGAATTCTTAACCAAGCGAAAAAAATTTGAAGGAAAACATTTTTGAAAAAATATTTTGAAGGAAAAAATTTTTGAAAAAAAAATTTGAAGGAAAAAATCTAAAAAAAAATTTAAGAAAATATTGAAAAAAATTTTAGAAAAAAATTTGACAAAAAATTATTGGAAAAATCTAAACCATCGAATATCACTTTTGAAACCATCGAATATCACTTTTGAAACCATCGAATATCACTTTTGAAACCATCGAATATCACTTTTTGAGAAGTGATATTCGATGGTTTGAGAAGTGATATTCGATGGTTTGGGGATTTTTTGCTAAAATATGATATCTTGATCCACATATCAAATATATCTTCACCTGATATTCGATATATATCCTTGTAACCATTGGATAATAAGAAATAACCAGTTCGAGAGATCAAATTTAGAAAATGTTTGGAGTACAATGTTCAATTTTGAAAATACAAATAATTATTTCAAAATCATATACAGGCAAAAAATAAAAGAAATGCCATGTAAAAAAATTTCTGATTTTAATTTTAAAATTCTTCATAATTGTTTATACTGTGGATACATGATTAGTAAATGGAACAGAAATATAAGTTCAACCTGCATTTTTTGTAATGAAAATCACACTGCGAAACATCTTATTTTTGATTGCCAGAAGGTTAGAAATATTTGGGAAGATGTTGGAGATATTTTGAATTTTAATGTTCAATGGAAACACATTGTTGTTGGTTTTAACATAATAGACAGAAAAACTAGAAACAGAAATATTATTTTAAGTATTATTGCAAATTCAATATATAAAAAATGGACAAACCTTAATGAAAAGCCAGATGTCTTGAGACAAATTAATTTTAGACAGCAAGTTTTATCAGACCTTTTATCCTACAACAGTGTATTTCTACTAAATAAATTCAATATAGATTTTGATATGTTAAAAAGAATTTGTAATATTTTATAAGAAGTAAGTTTTGTAATACTTTATAAGAAGTTAAGTGTTTTTCTGTACTTGTATTGTATATATATTTTTAATGTATTATTGTATTATATGTTCATATGTTATATTTTTGGGAATAAAAATTTTAATAAAAAAAAAAAAGAAATCCAAGATGGCCATCAAAATGGATGCCAAAATGAATATGTAACTATTGATTTAAGCTAAAAGAACAGTTAAGAACAGTAATTTTGGAGACTCTGTTTATTTTGTAGGGGCCAAGGATTTCATGCATGTCTAAATCTAAGTAATCAAATAATTACTTTTTATAGAAATCCAAGATGGCCACCAAAATGGGTGCCGAAATGAATATGTAACTATCGATCTAAGCTAAAAGAACAGTTAAGAACAGTAATTTTGGAGACTCTGTCTATTTTGTAGGGGCCAAGGATTTGATTTATGTCTAAATCTAAGTCATCAAGTAATTACTTTTTATAGAAATCCAACATGGCTACCAAAATTGGTGCCGAAATGAATATGTAACTATTGATCTAAGCTCAAAGAACAGTTAAGGACAGTGATTTTGGAGACCATGTCCAGGTTTAAGCGGCCAAGAATTTAAATTTTGTCTATAATTAGGTCATAAAATAATTCCTTTATTTGATCAAAGATGGCCACCAAAATGGCTGCAGAGTCACGATTTTGAGGACTGACTAAAATGTTTATCTTCATCAAACTCTTTCTGGTGTATTATACACTTGTCATTGAGCAATTTCTTGTGCTTGATCTTCTCCATCCAATAATCTACTGCTTCCTATGGACAGTCTACTTCTTTCTATAGTCAATGTTTATGATACTGAGCCAACACAAAACTAAGGGAAAGGAAGGCAAATTACAGTAATATTGCTAATGCGATGATCATAAGATTTAATTTCGCAAATGTTCATGTGATTGTTTGTTCTTATTTGACCTTTTATAATATTATAACACTTTGGCATCCATCTTGAATTCTGATATTAATCACAGATGTGTTGTTTCATGACATAGCTCTAGATAACTGAAATTCCTGACCTCCTTATACATAGCTTCCAAAATTATTGTTCTTGGTGATCTATGTGGTTAAATGGATAGTTATATGGATCAAATGAAACCCTTGATCCCTAAAACCTAGATATTGTCTCCCAAATCACTGTTCTTAATTGTTCTTTGAACTTAAATCAATAGTTAAATATTCATTTTGGCACCCATTTTGATGACCATCTTGGATTTCTATATAAAGTAATTGTTTGATGACTTGTATTTAGACATAAGTCAAATCCTTGACCCCTTAAACCTAGACATTGTCTCCAAAATCACTGTTCTCAACTGTTCTCTGAGCTTAAATCAATCAGTTAAATATTCATTTTATCACCCATTTTGGTGGCCATCTTGGATTTCTATATAAAGTAATTGTTTAATGACTCAAATTTAGACATAAATGAAATCCTCGATCCCTAAAATGCAGACAAGTGCTCCAAAATCACTGTTCTTAACTGTTCTTTGAGCTTAAATCAATAGTTACATATTCGATTTGGCATCCATTTTGGTGGCCATCTTGGATTTCTATGAAAAGGTAATTATTTGATGACTCAGATCTAGATATAAATCAAATTATTGACCCCTAAAACGTAGACATGGGCTCCAAAATCACTGTTCTTAAGTGATTCTTGAGCATGATTCTTCCGTTTTTGCACCCATTTTGGTGGCCATCTTGGATTTCTACAAGAAACAATTGTTTGATGACTTAGATTTAGACATAAATGAAATCCTTGACCCCTAAAACCTTAATATAGGCACTAAAATCACAGTTTCTGCATCTCAGTGTGCTTAGATACGCGGCCATTTTGAAAAAGGGGCGATAACACCCATTTAGCTACAACTGTTACAATGCTATCACATATTTTCTTACTCTAGAGGTCTTAACGTTCCCAAAAATCACTATGGCGATTCCCCTAATTTGATACCGACCAACCCCCCAGGCTGATGGCCTAATACTAATTTCTGTATAAATTACCCTCTATGTAGTGAACACCTCCCACAGTAAACTTTTTCGGCAAAAATATTTGATTAATGTAGTGAATAATCCGTCAGCCGACAGCCGTAAAATTTCTGCTCTGAAAATAAAATCAGTTTTGCCGCGAGGACAAACACGTGCTGACTTTATATCCCCGATATAATGATAAAATGAACTTTAGGAAATGTTAATGGTTCACCATCGTAAAGTGTGGCCTTCATACGGTAAGATAGCATAAATATATCTAAATCGAGTAAAATAGTTTGAGTACAACTTTAAAATGATGATGAATGTGTATTTTGCCATGTGTAAAACATGTATTGTCTTCTCAACTTAAGTTTGCGACCATGGTATGGCTACCGAGTACATGCGAGTGTCCATTGTGGAAGGTTCACGGTGTCAATACTCCGCTTATCCCTGTAATGACGAGGATGATGCTGATAATGTAAGTTAGGATTTCCCTAGGGAGAAAATTGGCTTGTATTAATGTGCGTATATCATATTGCATTCTTGTAAGTTTTTTTCAAGAATAGTGAACCACTCATACTCAGCTCTATGAGCATTAGCCCTCCAAAAGGTTTCTTAACCGATTGAAAGAAACCCGGGAGCAGAAGTTAATCCTCCTTTGTTTTGTTGAAGTATCCCAGCATTTCCTCGCGATCTTCTGTATACTTAGACTAACTGGCTTGACCAATTCGACATCCATCTCCCGATTTAATATTTTGACTGATGATGAACATTGGTACAATAACGTCATTTCGAAGGGCAATATCGTGAAATATTGGACCGAGGTCCGATAGACGTCTTTGATTTCACTATTTTGCCCGCAGAAATGACGTTATTAGGATTATTACCACCTCAATAAAATTGTCAAATCTTACAGAATTGAGTATCTGATGATGACAGCAAGAAAATCTTACGCACTGAACAATATCTAATTTCCCGGGGAAAATTGCCGGTCATGAAATACAATCTCGACCCAGGAGGAGTGAGTAGCTCCCATAATTCTTTCATATTCTATCGTATTCGGGGATTCCCCATTACATCATCTCTTGCATTATCTCCAATCAAATTGCAGGATTCGATCACGTGAACAATCATGGGCACATGCTCTCTCAGTGCTGCGCATGCGCAGAGTTAAATTTTAAATCGTGAGAATGGCGTTTACATCAGTTCAACATCGTCATTTCAAACCTACGGTAATACTATTGAAGTTACTCGATCCATACGTGTAGAGAATACTCATAAAACTACAGTGAACATTTGGAGATCCATTTCAACGGAAAATTGAGGCCTGTTTATAAAATTTGTTTTCGAACGTGCTAATATGAAAGGGCATCTTTGGGAAATCTCCCCCCCTGATCTCGACCGGCTATATTGACCGCCACTATGACGTCACATATTGCTCATGTCGATTTAGTAAAATGAATGCCTTCTAAACTAGCACTAAAACCCCTAGAACTGGCCCGGAAAGGTGGTTATAAAAATAATGTTGTTACAGGCCCATGCCAGTCAAAAAGGAGTTTCAGAATAGATCGAGAGCCAATCCTCCTCGGTGCAATAAAAATGATTATACATTAAGCGGACATTTTACTTAAGGGGGGTTGTGAGAACTGCATAGCGGGGACAGACTGTCAGAGAATGGGTTACTATGCCAACACGATGCCTGGTAGAGGAACATTCTTTCTGAGAACGGTTGCGGATTACCCATACTGTGAGAATTAGATGGACCAAGAGTGATGGCCTGAGTTTTGTCAATACATCCTGAAACACCTGTAAATCTAAATCTAAAAAATTAAATTTGGATATGAAAAACATTGTGCCATTGTGATAACTATGAAAACCATAAATATTTATCTATGTTTTGTTAATCTGAATTGAAAGATGATAAAAACTGTATATAAAAAATAATCTACGTTTTGCTAATTTAAGTCAAAATTCAATAAAACCGAATTTGAATATAAATCTTAAAACGTTTTTTTAATTCATTTTGTTTTGAAGGAAACCACATCTACTCGGATGTACTAAATCGATCGCATAGTTTAGAGGGGCGGGGCTAGAATATGAAATAGGTGAGGCAAACTGAAATAAGTGAGGCAAACGTAAATAGGTGAGGCAAACTGAAATAAAGTGAGGCAAACGTAAATAAATGAGGCAAACGTAAATAGGTGAGGCAAACTAAAGAAGTGAGGCAAACTTAAATAGATGAGGCAAACGTAAATAGGTGAGGCAAACGTAAATAAATGAGGCAAACTGAAATAAGTGAGGCAAACTTAAATAGGTGAGGCAAACTAAATAGGTGAGGCAAACGTAAATAGGTGAGGCAAACTGAAATAAGTGAGGCAAATGTAAATAAGTGAGGTAAACTGAAATAAGTGAGGCAAACGCAAATAGGTGAGGCAAACTGAAATAAGTGAGGCAGACGTAAATATATGAGGCAAAATTGAATTTTTTACTCTTCATTTTCACGGTTTGAATCAAGAAAGTCATTGATATCTTTTCAACGTTTTTGGCGAGGCTGCTTTTTCTTCCGTCTCGCGCCTGGCTACGCCTGTGAGTTCATATTTTAGTTAGCTTGTATTAGCGAATGTAACTTTCGGCTACCGCCGGATTAACCTACTTTTTTTTATTGCAAACTCATTTAAATATGAATGGAATAGTGGCAGGTACTATTCATATTCAAATGAGTTGGTCATAAAATAGTAGGTGAATCCGTCAGCCGACGGTTGAATTCGCAAATACAAGGTTAGCTTTTTTCAATAAACCCTGTCACATTTTGGTATATCAGAGAAGCTAACGGATGATATCAGCAAATTGCAACTAACCATCCAACCTACCAAGGTCGTGGTCAAGATCTAGGTCAATTCAACCTGGAGTTTTATATTGAACTTGCTCAGTTTACCATTTCAGTTGTCTTCATAATCAATACGGTTTAAACAGAAGAAGGCAACGGTCGTTATATTCTCTTTCAAAATGTCGGATGGTAATTGTCGATTTCCATATTTTTCGTTTTTATCAAATTAAACCACTTTGCCCTGGACACCCGCCATTGATATTTCAGCCACGTCAAACTTCTAGATATCTGAAGTCAATACAGTGCAAATATATATATAAACTTTCATTTTTGGCTCACACAGTGAGCCTATGGGATCGACCAGGCGTCCGTCCGTCAACATTGGCCGCACAAATTAAAACTGCTATTCGATCGGATTGAGTCATATCCACATTCATTTTATGCATATCCATAATGCCTATTTGACCTATCATCGCCATTTCCCAAGTTCGCCCGGTTTCCGAGAAATTGCTGATTTTGACGTCAAAAAGTCAAAGGACCATAGGCACCCTCCATTGGGAACTCCCCATGAGAAAAAAATAATTCATCTGATTTTTCAAAATGAGTATTCTGCTTTAATTATTACATGTATATGCACACTAGTATCTTGTTGACCTATATTCAGCACTGTATTGATGTATAGGCCACCTATTAGGGTCATTATTCAATCATGAAGTGTAGAGGCATATGATTCCAAACCAGGAAGTATTTTTGTGTCTGTCAAAATCCATTTGCATCCTACGCATCTCCCTACATCTTATCCAAATATGTTACTATATAATGAAATAAAATAGTTTATTCTTTGGTTTTACAAAGTTGTATGATTTTTGATAAGTGTAAAAGTTGTCTTTGGAGCATTTTTCTATAGCCATTTTGTAGGGGAAAAAGGTGATGAAAAAATGTACAATCTTTTAATTTTAAGTATGACCTGAATCGATTGCAAACTTCATATTTGCACATTTGATGAGATAAACCATTAGTGTCATATTGTGAAATTATTAAGTTTGCAATTATCGATTCATGTCATAGTGTATTTTTGGTATTTTTGTGATAATCAATAGAAACCAATGGCCTAGTGGGATCTGCTGATATCCTCATGTTAAGTCAATGATGTACAGCCCCATGGAAGTCAATACAACCTTACTAAACTAAATGGCCCCTATCTCAGCCTATGTGTGCCCGAGCACTTTTATATTTTCCAAAGAGTTATATGACATTCTATTCTTCATGTTACACCTAAGAATTATTCATTTTGACCATAGGGGTATTTGCCAATAAACGCACCTCTTCCTTTTCTGTAAATACTAGATACTTTGTTGAAGTAGAACTTTCAAATAACTTGTAGTAGTTGCTGTATATGCAACTTATGTCCTCTGAAGATTTCAAAGTTCTTTAATTCGAATTACAGTTTTTGGTGTTTACTCTAAAAATTTGACAAATATTAGGCGGGTTTTGTGATTGACAAGTTTCTCAAAGTTTGCCTTATTACTTGATCATTTTTTGCAATGAATTACATCATTACTAGATTTAAGCATTCCCTACATAAGCATTCACACAACTCTGGTATCTAAGTTTCTCAAAGTTCGAGACTACAAATCCAAATCAATATTTTTGTTTGAAATTCAGGATATACATTCCTCTGAAGGTTCCAAACTGTGTGAGCACAGGGCCGTGGGTCCTTTATAATTCATTGTCGTACTCACTTTCATAATTGTTTCAAGATCTGACACTCCTGAGTTCTCTGGAATTATATATATTTCATTTTTGACTTATCTGCAGATCCTGAATAGTTCAGTATTTGATTTGCCTTATCTCGTGTTCCAGATACGATTTATTTTCATATTTGTGATATCCCTAAAACCTTATTATAGGAGTTATACTATATATAATCTTTGGGATTGGGATATAAATTAATTATGTACGGTGTGTGCTTTTACAGCCTTTATTTACATTGTTGCTTGCATGAGATTCCTTCACTTCATAAGTTTACTCCACATTTTGCACTGCTGCTTATGTGAAGGCCAGTGCTCTGTTTGACAATAACTAGAGCAATACCTCACTTGTTTGCAACCACTGCATCGCTTCCCGGGAGGAGACTGGAGAATTTTTTCCTTTTGAGAGTTGCACTCTACATTTTTACAAAGCCTTGATGCGATGAACGGATAATACGCGCGCACCATTTCCGTATCCGGTTGTCCGCCTTCTTCACTCGCTTTATAAATCGGAAGCCTTTCTTTCTCAGCTCGTTCTGCTCTCTCGTAGTAGTTCATCATACCATGATAATCTTGCATCTTAAGAGACACATCAGCCATCAAGAAGAGAACATTTGGGTATTTCTGGTCACATGGTGGAGCGACTGCAAGGTATTGTTTGAAAAGCTCCATTGATGGAATTGCGCCATCTTTAAGAATATCAGTGACAGTAGTTCGAAACCATCTAGCGTCTTCATCTTTTGTCAGACCACGTTCTTCACATTTTGCCTCCATGATCTCTACTTCGCGCCTATATGTGGCAAATGCCACGCCATACAGTGCAATCGGGGATGTAGGGTATACACTCAGTGCTTTGCTAAAACTGTCTATTGCGCGGATGTACTGATGCGTCACTACACAGTATGACCCCATTGTGTAATATACCAAGAAAAGTATCTTTGTGTTCAGAAGAAGAATCGAATCACCACCCAGATTAGCAGAGTCAAGTTTTTCAATATCGTGGGTCTCAAAAACCTGGACCGCTGCAGATTCATCGCCTCTTTTTACCACTTCTTCCTCGACTTCTGAGTTATTTGGAAATCTTGTTGAATGTTTATTATTGTCCTTCATCCAAACTTCCATATCACGAATTAGTTGGTCTAATGATAGCATCAATCTCTCTGGGTTAGTCCTTGGTGGTAAACTGTTTAATTCACATTTGAAGTATCTACATGCGAAATCGTCGGGGTCATGTGCCAAGACCTTCCCTAGAAACGCATCTATCTCACTCCCGTGTAAACTAAGGAGAGGTACATCTTCTTTTGCTTTACTCTCATAAAAGCAACCATCGACATACAAATGAACCCCTTCGACACGTTTGAATCGTTTGCTTATCGGTTGATTTACTAGCATGTTTCTCCCAGCATGCATTAGTGCGACAGCCTTTTTGTAGTTTTCAGCAGTGGGCGTATAATAGCTAGACATTTCCCTTATCAACACATTCCTCGGTGTACTACTAAGGATGTTCATTGGATGACTATTTGCTTGTCTTACAAGTCTGTTTTCCTGGATTTGGAATAAATCACTCGATACATGTCCCAGACTTCCCATTAACATGGTCCCAATTACGTCATTATTCGATGTCCCAAGTGTTGGAATCTTCTTAAGTATTTCAATTGCTTCTCTATTCCCCTGTCTAGCTGCTAGACTAATGTAAAACTCTCCGAGAAGAATGTCATTACAGTATCCAGAAGGTGTGAATATGTAAAGCTTCCCCAACTCAAGACATGACGGCACGTGGCCAGTCCTTGCTCTAGCATACAGCTTTACATAATTTGGGTCAGTTTGTATTCCAAAATTCGCAAAAGACAGTGCCATTGTTGCTGTGTTTAGCTCTCGTGTTTAGCTGTTGCAACTAAAACAGAAAGAGAAGTATAATCGTACAATGGTGATTTGATTGCATAACCTCATTTAAACAGTCAAGATTTAAAATATATCACTTGATGGATTGATTGTGGATGCATAAGGATCTTGTATGAATCCAGCATATAAAAACGAGTGTTTTAAATCAATTCACAAGTAAGATTTATGCTCAAATTCCTTTATCACATTATTCTAAAGCTACAAGACCATGGGTCAAAACTGCGGGGCAAACAACGTACATATACTAACAGTAATAATGTTTAACGCTGAGGTTAGTGTTTCTCCTCGGGGGCACAGCCAATTGGTCAAAAAGTGTGAAAGACAATATAGGCGGGGTAAGAACTAATTCAAATCACCTGATTCCTTTACGCTTCTACCAATTAATTTGACTCACCTGATTCCTTTACGCTCCAACCAGTTAATTCAACTCACCTTTACGCTTCTAACATGGAGGAAATGCAGATATATCTCGATGATATAATCAATGACTTCTCCGAAGTGAGACACAGTATTGATCCGTAGCTCTCAAACAAATATCGTCAATGGAGAGGTTAAGCTACCGTATAAAATCCAAAACGCAACTTAAACGTATCAATCGTCCCTATACAAATATATGTAGAGTTCACAAATAAATAGCCGTTCAGCTCTAGTGTTTGTTTAGACTACACCATAGCTTGTAATGATTACATAGTATGCCATTGATGAAGTTCAATAGCTGGTTTTCTAATACATATTTTAAACGAGCTCGTTTCGTAAGATTATTGGAGTTAAATCATGCGTAACATACATCATCTTCTTTAGAAAGAATTATACTCTGCATCGAAATCAAAATTGCAAGGATAGTATTCAACAGACATGAGTATAATGATTCCCGTTGATAGCAACGTGAAAATTTAAAATCTCCCGTTCTAAACACGCAACTTTGAAGTTGAACGGGTATCTGAAGTAGACTAAAGCGATACAATCCTATGTTGATTCAATGTACTTTGCGTTTACGTATACGTTTTGAAAAACCGTATTTGCTTAAAAGTGTGCGCCAAAGTTTAAAACTGCGCAGGCGCACCGCTCTCGCTAAACTATATAAAGAGATTACCGAGTACACGATTCAGAGGTAAGCCAGGAAGGCGAACGATCTTCGTCCCGTGATGATTTCCCATATAATCGTAACCAGGGAAGTTTCACCATTGAAATTGAAAATTACTATAAGATATACTTTGTAGATGTTATTTATGAAGCTATTTAGTGTTTGCATCAATCAAATGGCTCATTTTGAACATATAAAAAGTATTTGTGTTTTGTTTCCCCAGGGAATCGTATTCCCATGTAGTACACACATAAATAGTGTACATTATACAGTACTTGAATAGCCTGGTTTACATAATATTGAAGGGCATGCTGATTACATGCACACGAGTACATGAATGAAGGCCTAATATTGATATACGTAGGTTGCATACCTAAATAAAAAATAAACTCTTCTAATCCCCTAATGTAAACACGGCGGTATACGTAGCCCGTTTTATCGGGGACTTTAACCTCTCCAATATATACAACCAACGCCTATTCTTTAGATCAGTCAATAACACAAAGCCGCCAGAATATGTCAGGTACACGCATATAGTGCACTAGAAATGTTTATATAGGTGTTTTATTAAGTATTTCTATGATTGATGAATACCTGTAGATAAAAGTAATATTAAGTAAAGGCCTAGGACTGAAAAACATGAAAAAACTTATTGAATACGCTTCAACATACAGCCGCCATTGGAATACTTCACATTATGTAGCTGACATCTGAATCGTAATAACTCAAAAATAATCATACCATTGATTAATAGCAGCACGAAAAAATTGATAAAATGGCGGACACTTGTATTCCAGGCTCGGACCCACTGGAAATCTCTTCAGCAATCCATAAGCTTATCACGTCGCCACATGACAAAGGTAGGTACCCCTAGGAAATATATGAATTATAGCCTGAGGTAGTTGTCTCGTCTGACTCATTCCTACCTCTTGCATGTGAGATATGTAATGGCCAAGGAAATAGCCTACAATTTGTTATAAACACAAAATTTAACTACCAAGTATATTAGATTTCTATACTTTATACACTGTTAGTGAACAGGGACCAAACGATCAGTTTAACTCCTACTTCGAACAAATTGTCCTCATGTCTGGGTGTGTTCCTGTATAGATTGATGTGAAAAATGGTATTTCTTTTTGACCTTATTGAGTACTTTATGTTTTTAATTCTTCTAGATGAGGTCATCGATCTTCAATTGTCTCCTGAGAAACGAAGATGGCTCGTATTTGGAATAACATTAAATAATACCATAGCACCCTGTCTTCGCCAGTACGTCGACCCAATAGTAAAACGTGCATTTTCTAACCTGACGTCTGCACAACTACACAGAATGACGTCTTACAAGAACAAACAATCACTTGAATATCGGAATATAAACAATAATGCATTGGTACAGTGGAACAAACAGCAGCACGTACACAAACTTCAAAACCACGTCGATTTCTCAAAATTATTTTTGAGATTTGGAATGGCAAAATACACTGCATTCGACGAAACGTGCGACCCCTCTGCGTTACTTAATCTCATTATACAAATGGATGACTTTCCGAGCATTGTTCGGCCGATAGCAGACACCATTCGTATGTTTCGAAATGACTGGGGTCATTGTGATTTTACTAATTGGACTGAGTCGTACTATTTAGACGCCTTTGCCAATATGGAAAAGTTTATTCGAAGTCTGCAATTATCACCCAGTGAGAAAGAAAAGAAAATCCTATCTGAGCTAACAAAATGGCAAAATGATGGTAATAATCCTTGAATACAGGGTGTTTCACAATGACCGTCCTCTAAGCCATTGCCAACTCTAGTCATATTTGACCATACTCATTATACAGAGTGAGCCAAAAATACGCCACTTTTTTCAAAATGCTATAACTTTTTTAATTTTTGATATCAAATCATAATTTGCATACCAAATGAAACTTGAAACTTGAAACTAGCCATGGATCATGAAGTATACACTTTTACTTGAATAAAATATGTCACCAGCGTCTCACTTAAACATGTGGTGTGCCATGAGAAATAAGCATAATTTGCAAAATGTTCCTGGACTGATACGGCCTGATGATCGCCAAGCTAATAGTCCTGATGCAAACCCCAGCATGTATAGGGTATGGGATGGTCTCCAGGAGGTTGTATGAAGGCACCCAATCTAGAAAATTGCTCAACTAAAACTGGCAATTAAGACAGGTTGAAAAAAACTCAGCTAACATTTCATTGATACTGCAATATCAGCAAGGCGACTAAAACTAAAATATATCATCAATTAGGGTGGCGGACCAATTGAACTTCCCTTTTAGATCAAATATAATCCAAGTTGAAGGACTTGTTACATTATATTATAACTAAGAACCCTTGGCACTATATAACTGCAAAATTTGGGGTATGTAGGTTGGAAAATAAAAAAGCTGTAGTGTCTTGAAAAAAGTGGCGTTTTTTTGGCCCACCCTGTATAACTATCCAGTTATCCAGTTTAAGACAACATGATTAACTACTAAGGACATAACTTAATGGGGGTGACAGTCAGTATGAAACACCCTGTAACTTTAAAATATGTAGCTATTATATCACCATCTGATAAATTGTTGATATTGTTTAACAATTCAGAAATGGGCCTTTAACCGGATGATTCATCTTTTAACAGATATTAAAGTTTTGATCTTCTTCTTTGATTGTTCTTCAACAGTAACTAAAAAGAGTATAATTTGAATTTAATACTTTTGATCTTTACCCTTATTGCCTTTGTGCTTACATTTATAACACCTAATTACTTATAAAATCATAGTGTTATGAATGTAAACTGAATAGTGTAATTGTAGGTATACGATTCTTCTCAACGCCATGGGTAGACGCCAAGCTATGTGAGAAAATCCAATACGAAGTCAAAACACTTGCCAGTATCAATCTCGGGACCATTGAAGAAATCGTTCAACTGAGAACAGAAATTAATTTAACTAGTGATACTCTAAAACTCGAAATGGAGAAGTTTAATACCCAGGTGCAGGAAAACTCGACAATATTACAAAGATTTGATGACAGGTTGAGCCAAGAAAAGGTTGCTGTCTCAGATCAGTTCCGAAAAACAAATGAATCATTAGACAGTGTGGTAAAAAGGGTTGAAAATTTAGATACCAGTCACCAAACATTTCAGGTTAATGTTGAGAAAAATCTAGGTGAACTCACCACAAGGGTAGATAAGGTTGAAACAAGGGTCTCTAGTCCGTTCCCTGGACCATGGTTCGATGCGCCTGATCGAAATCAAACTTTTTCTGGTAGAGTTAATGAATTGAGGTTAATCAAGTCGAGGTTTGAGGGTAGTGATAAGTTTCAAATTATTGGATTGTGTGGTCTCGGTGGGTGTGGGAAAAGCACTCTAGCGAATGAGGTTGCGTGGCAAATGAACGAGTTTTATTCAGGTGTGTTCTGGATATCAGCTGAAACATCAGACACATTTGAAAACTCTGTCAATAGAGTTGCTTTAGAGCTGTCAATTCAAGCTGATAACTTCCAGCAAAAGCTCGATGCAGTGCTCAAATGGTTGAAAGGGATCACAACTCCATGGTTATGCATCGTTGATAATCTGGATCTGATTCAGCTGAGTGACGGTATGAAGACCCTTTTGATGGGTTCCTGGAGGCGAGATAGTAAAGGTCACATTGTAGTTACTACTAGAAGAGAGCCTATAGTACTGCAAGAAGATCTAAATCTTGATGAGGCATCGTGCATTCCTGTTGGGCCATTCACAGCCGAGGAGGCTATTCAGTTCATGGTCAACAGAGCGGGGTATCCTCTCGATGAAAGCCTGGAACAAATTGTGGAGGAACTGGGACAGTTACCTCTTGCATTAGAACAAGCTGCGGTCCTCATAAAGCATAGAAAGTATCCGTATGAGGAATATCTGAAAGCATTCAGAAAACTTAAGCTTAAGGTACTGAGAAACAAGGCAATGTTGCCGCATGAGTCTACATCGGTGGAACGGGGTACTGTTAAAATGACATGGAAGATGAACTTTGATTACATTAAAGAAATGTCCGAAGAAGACATGGGGAACACAGTGCCTTTGATTATGAATGTTGCTGCATTTTTATACGCCGATGATATCCCACAAGAGGTGATTAATGAAGGGGATCCTGCGATAGCAGATGATGACATTCGTGATAATTTATCCTCTGATTTCATGATAAAAGAGGCGTTGTCAATTCTTACAAAGTTCTCACTTTTTAGGCAGAATACACCCGTGTCTTTAACAGTTCATCGACTTGTACAAGAGGTTATACGAGACCAACTGCGAAATGATGGAACATACCGAGAGACCCTCGAATCGGCCATCAATATGTTGAACAAAGCTTTGAAGAGCACTGATAGCCCTGTGCCTATTCTCACAGGTGAAAGAAGAGAGGAATCTGATTTAAACGGATCTTTGTACCTTTGGTCTCGTCTTGCCCTCCATGCATGTTCGCTAAGAGATCATGCAAAGCAATATAACAAGATCAGTAATACAAAACTTATCAATGAACCAACACTTAGAATAATATATGATTCTTCTATTTTCCATAGCATCAACCAAAGACAAGCCGAAGCACTGTGTGCACAGACAGAAAAGATCACCATGTTAGCCCATGTAAGCGCCTTACACGCTGATGATCGAAGATTTTACACAGATATTAAGATACCTCTCTTGGAAGAGCAGCGGAAATATATTCAAGCATGTACCTCAAAAGATACACCCGTTGACTACGATGACGCAAAGGTTGAATGTCTCAGACTTGAGGGGAATACAGCATTTAAAGGAGGCAATCATCATACTGCCATTGAATGCTATACACATGCACTTCGATATGCTGAGAAAAAGCCAGCTCAGTTATATTCCAATAGAGCCTTGTGCTATATAAAAATCAATGAATACACAAAATGTCTTGAAGACTCTTACAAATGTTTGAAGCTTGATCCTGGCTCTTGGAAGGCAGATTGTTGGCGAGCGTACGCTCTCTATCATTTATGGCAGAATGACCTTGACCTTTCTTTGATACAACCATCCAATGCAATGGTGTCATCTGCAGACACGGCAAGAAATCAAATCAACCAAACCCACCTGCGGATGTATACCAGATCAATGGGTTATGCGGCTGCTGCGATGGCAACTAACAAAAAGCCAGAGACATGCTTAGAGGAAAAGATAAGAAGATATTACCCAATTATAAAAGTTAGAGAGATATTCGATTCAGACTCATTGACACGTGAATGGGGGTCGCGCGCCAATTCACCGTACACAACTTACTTACTCAAGCCAAACACTTACAAAACACCGATGTACTACACTGAAAGTTTTCAGATTGTGGGCAGATCAGAACATGTTGAGCTTATAATCGAAGGCGCCATAGCACTTGTGTCTGATCTTGTTCTTCAAAAGCAGGAGTATCATTTTGAGAATATCGTTTTTAAAGGAGAAGGGTTGGTAATTAGACAAGGAATATCCACTTCCTTTATCAACTGCACATTCGAAAACGGAAGACCTGGTTGCGATGACTATCCCTACTGTCAGGGAAGGAAGGGTTGTAGGTCACCTATAGGGTCCCATTGTCAGAGACAAAGTCAAGAAATATCTACCAAAAAATGTCAAGAGTTAATGTTGGTGAAATCAGACACCGCCACTTTCCAACAAGATCGTAGACCAGAAAGAATTTCAGTCGGAGATACAGGGTATGTAGGGTTGCAAATTGTCAATGGTGGATCAGCGATAGTGAAAAACTGCCGCTTTAGAAGTACACCATCAGGAAATGGAGGGTTGCTTGTAGATGGAGAGGGATCATCTGCAATAGTAACTAATAGTTCCTTTGAGCGTAGTAGGACACACGGAATCGAAGTTAGGAATTACGGATCTGTCACTGTCTCAAACTGTAATATAAGCAACAACACAAAAGGTATATCAATTGGTCCAAATGCGGCATATTGTAGCGTGATCGGAAATACAATAACGAATAACCATACAGAGGGTATTTTATTTCATCTCTCTGGTATAGCTGACATACGAAATAATACAATTGCACACAATGGGATGCGAGGAATTTCCACCGACGGGGGGCGCATCAGCATCATCGGGAACAGAATCTTTGAAAACTGGTTTTGGGGGATATCTGTAAAAACACGAACTACAGCCTATATTAGCGAAAATGAGATGTTTCGCAATAAGTGCGGAGGGATACGTGTTGGGGGGAATTATTCCGCCAGAGTCCTCGTAGATGGCAACACTATAAGAGACCAAACAGGCCCGGCTTTGCATATTGAAGAGGTGGATGATGAGTTAAATTCAAAACAAAAATATTTAACTTCACAGGTCAAAATGGCAATTGGAATGCCTAGTGATGAACTGGTTATTTACTCAGCGCCACCTATTGTGACAAACAGGAACCTTTTCCGAAATAATAACGTACAGCGCAGCATGCAGGGAGATCTCCTTGATATATGTGCCAATTGTCAGAGGAAAGGCAATTTAAAAAAATGTAAGCGATGTCAAGTGGTTCAGTACTGTAGCAGGGATTGCCAAGAAAAACACTGGAGTGAGCACAAGCCAATATGCAAGGTGATACGTGACAACTATTCCATTGTCATAGATATGAAAACCACAAAAACGCCCGTCGAGTTCAGTGGAAAGAACTCTTGTATCCGGAATTTTGACAAATCTCTGATTGGGCTCTTTCAAGGGACTCCGCCTGATCCAAGTTCCACCAATAGATTTGTTGTCAAAATCCAGTCTGTACCATTTAGTGAACAAAGCTACCATGATCCAAACGCATTATTGTCCCTTTACGATCAAACTGTTCAGTTAGACATCATGTTCCAAAATAGGGCCTTGTATCAAATTCTCATGGAATGTGGGATCTTAGGAGCAAACAAATTTGTCAGTAAGAAAGTTTATTTCTGGGCTAACTATGAAAATAACGGAAGTAAACTTCGCATCCACACTGGCTCCTTCCCGCAAATGCCATTGTGGTAGATACATGTTAAGGATTTACCGTCTGTCCTTGAGGAGCTGGTTTCTTATGGATGAACCTTAAAGCAACCACATTTTTAAATTTTTTAACAGCATGAAATGTGTACCATCGACAGACTTTGATAGCCTTTCTCTTAAAAATACGAAAGTAAGCGGCATGACACGTGGTACTCAATTCAGTTATAATGTGAAGATTTTTTTCGAATATTTACAGAATAAAAAGTTATAACAAATCTGTTGATGGTACGAGTGACAGGTTATTCTGATTTTTTATGATTATACACAGGGAGATATGCCAATTACTCAATTGGTACAAAATAAGCACTAAATTAGCACTCTGGCAAAAGTGCGCTTATGAGCACTCGTGCTATTAGTGCTAATTTAGTACTAATTTTGTACTTACTGGCTACTTGGCATATGTATGAGTACTCATTGAGTAATGAAAAATCAATGAAATTAGCGCTATTTTATCACTCATTATATGAGTACTCATTTAGTACTAAAAATGCAATAAATCTGTACTCGTGTCGTGATAAGTGCTCATTTAGTACTGATGTTTACTGAAATGAGTACTCAATAAGAGCTAAAATTCATAATTACTATTTTAGTACTCGCCATATCTCCCTGTGCACGATGTGTTGGAATCAGAAATACGCATTGTTTATTTGATAATCAAATCATCAATATTTAAGTGATCGTGTAACAGTGTAAATGTAAGTCCTGTGTCATTTTCACCGATGTCCTCTTGGTAGGCGGAAACTATTTATCACCGTGGCGTGATACTGATGTTACGATACAGTGCCACTGTCTCCCGAAAATATCTCCATTAAAATTCGCATCTAGATGGCAGTATCTTTGTAATTGGACCAATAAGTTTAAGAACCATAAAGTAGTCGTTATATTATGTATACAATAATTGTAATGCTGATAATGCGATTGAACAGTTTCTGGAATGATATGTATTCTCGTGAAAATATAATTGAATTAGATAATATAAAATATAATAAATCATGACCAAAATTAATTATATTGACACATATAAGTAGACTGGTTGGAGCAATAAGTAAATGCAATACCAAGTAGCCTATGGTATGATAATGTTTATTTGTAGATTTGTAAATGATGTATCATTTATATAGTACCTCTTCTTGTACCTCAATTGACCCTTTTCCATATAAATGGAAAAAAGGATGGCATCATGGGTGTTTGTAGGGCTAGAATACATGGCAGCCTATGGCAAGAGCCATTTAATTTCTTGATTAAACAAGTAACTCCATTTGGATCAACTTAAAACACCATTGGAATCTGGTACATTTCCATATAATCTTACACAGAGTTAAAAAATGCCATCAAATAGAAGAAAATGATAGACTTTAATGGTTAAAAATGCAGATGTCCTAAAATCTCATTAAAACGAGACTTTAACGAGATTTCAAAGCTATATGGAAAAGACTCTATTGAATGTTCTTCATTCAAGGGAATGAACGAGAAGGAATAGAGGCAAGTTTAGTAATTAAGATTATAAACGATAAAAAATATTTTTGCTCTCATCAACTTTTGTATTTGATCGTACAAGTTTATTCTTTATTCAGTTCTTCATCAGAATATAAAATCAGGATTTAAGGAAACATTTGCATGATTTTTCAAAAGATTGTTTCTTAGATTTCACACTTTCTATCCCTTCTACACAGGGATATATGCCGAGTACTAAACTAATCATTGCATTTTAGCACTAATTGAGTACTCATCAGATGTAGTATAAACCTCTTAGTATCAACAGCCAAACCGATCCATTTGTTTATCATTGATAACATGATTCATGGATTTATGAAAAGAAAATTGTACTCTCAATGAAAAAATCGGTAAAATGAATATTGTAATTTTCAGTAAAATGAGTTTGTTCTCTTAAGTAAATTATAGAAGTGTACTCCGTAAAAAAGAAATGATATTCTCCAGGAAATGAAATTGCACACAGGGAGATATGTCGAGTACTAAAATAGTACCCATGGCATTTTAACGCTAATTGAGTACTCATTTCAGTAAATATTAGTACTAAATGAGCATTTATGACATGAGTACTGATTTATTGCATGTTTTAGTACTAAATGAGTACTCATATGATGAGTGGTAAAATAGCAGTAATGTCATTGATTTTTTAGCGCTAAATGAGTACTCATATCAGGAGTGATACTACTACTAATTAAATTTATTTTCAGCACTAAAGGAGTACTCATATCATGAATTAGTACTAAATTAGCACTGGTGGCATGGGTGCTCATGAGTGAACTTTTGCCAGAGTGTTAATTTAGTACTAATTGAGTAATTACACTCCCCTACATAAGTTTGGCAACCTTAGCTCCCCCATTGAACTACGTGTTAAAGCCTCTTTACCTTTGAATTTTTATTTACTTAACCGGCGATGAAATAACTTGTAATATTGATGGAAACGTAATTTGACTTTATTTCCAATACCTCCAATTTTTCAATTTTTTCCTTAATTACAGTTGCTCGAAAAAAATAAAGTTGATGAATTTTTGAGAATCGTCATTCCCATGTAATCCAATGGGAAATGGAGAGTTCAGGGCAAATCAGAAATCAGGATATCTTTTCAGTAAAAGATTCAGCAAAAAATATTTTCATATAGAAATTGAATTGTCTAACTTTTTCGTACACTAAGTGTTTAGTTTATTTGATGAATACTAAAGTTACAGCGCTTCAAAGTCATTTTTGAAATTTTTTTTTGCCTCTTGTGTTATTTCGATGGGAGAGTTTTTTGAAAAATAATTTTGACTCTAAAGCCCTACAACTTTGTTGAACCTGAAGAAACATATTAATTCTTTGTTAAATAAAGTTAGCAAATTCAATTGCCTGCCTAACACGTATTTTTTGCAAGGACTCGGATGGATAGATATTCTGTCGTATGACATGCGGCAAATCTACCATTTCCCATTGGTTAACATGGGAATGTCGATTTTCAAAAATTCATCAAATTTATTATCAATTTTCGACTTACTGTAATTGAGGAAAAAATTTAAAAAATTTGGAGGTATTGGAAATAAAGTCAAGTTAGGTTTTCATCAATAGTATAAGTAATTTCATCGCAGGTTAAGTAAATAAAAATTCAAAGGTAAAGAGGCTTTAACACGTAGTTCAATGGGGAAGCTAAGGTTGCCAAACTTATGGAGGAGAGTGTAGCATATCTCCCTGTGTACTTTTCATTAAAATATTAATTGTACTTTTCAGTAAAATAAAGAATTGTGCTTTTAGTATGATAAATAGTATTTTTCAGTCAATAAAAACTGTACCTTTCATTGCACTTTAGAAGAAAAAACGTGTACTCTGGTACAGAGTTACCCAAACATAGAACCCTCCAATTTAAGAGTGTCTAATACAGCAAACATCGATTTAATGCGACTGTTGGCAGGATCTGACAATTAGTACTATTGATAGTTTCTGACAATTTGTGCCACTGACAGTATCTGACAATTAGTACCACTGATAGTATCTGACAATTTGTGCAACTGACAGTATCTGACAATTAGAACCACTGATAGTATCTAACAATTTGTGCAACTGACAGTATCTGGCAATTAGTACCACTGATAGTATTTGACAATTTGTGCAACTGACAGTATCTGACAATTAGTATCACTGATAGTATCTGACAATTTGTGCCACTTACAGTATCTGAAAATTAGTACAACTGATTGTATCTGACAATTAGTACAATTAGTACCACTGACAGTGTCTGACAATTAGTACCACTGATAATATCTGACAATTATTACCACTGACAGTATATGACAAGTAGTGCCACTGACAATCAGGCAGATGTTGACATTGTTTCATTTTTCAAATATGAATAGGTTCTGGGTGATCTCAAATACGATCTTAATGATCTCGTGCGGTTTTTTGGAGCTTGGTGTTTTAAAGGTGCAACAATTAGTGCAGGGGGGGGGGGGGGGCATTCAACGATCATCGGCCAGTGTCAAAATATATTTAAGTTTGGGTATTTCATCAAGACTAACATATATTTTTATTATCTTCAAAGAATTTACACTTCTAAATGCTGAAATTGATAGTTTGTCCATACATTTTAGGAAAAAAGGTATGTCAAAGAAGATGTTAAGCCAAATATTGACCTGATAGCTCAGAAAAAATTCGAAATTAACTCTACAGTCCTTGTTGCCCCTTTAATGGGTGCAAGCTAGCTAAATGTCAATAAAACCCTATTAGATGTTCTCATCACCCTCCCACGATTGTTCGTTTCCGGGATCATATTGGGCAAAGAGGAAGATCTGCTCCTTTGGTGTAAATAAACCACATTGGAAAACATCAGAGCTTCTTGCGTTTATAGAAATGCATTGTCAATTTATTAAATAAAAATAGTTAAACAGCTTGTTGTTTATGGCACAATATATATCTTGTTACATATACTATGTATATGTTAATCAGGGCCAGCCATGGTCCAAAACAGGCGAGGCAAATCAAAAATGTGAGGCAAAAGGAAAAAGGTGAGGTAAAACGAAAATGTGAGGCAAAATGAAAATGTGAGGCAAATCAAGAAGGTGAGGCAAAATGAAAAAGTGAGGCAACATGAAAAGGTGAGACAAAAAAAGGTTAGGCAAATCAAAAAGGTGAGGCATATGAAAAGGTGAGGCAAAATTTATTAAAAAACTTTTCCATAAAATTCTGGTGAGGTAATAGCCTTGCCTGCCTGTTGCATAGCCAACTACACCTGTGTTAATTGAAAACACAAATTAAAGTTAAAATTTAATGGGTTCATTACCACTGTCTACTTCAGTGGTAATGAAATCCCTATGACATGTAAAATGGCACAAATTATTGTTTATAGCAGAATATGCTTTTATTAGTCACCAGTATATTTATAATATGTATTAATAGGATTTATTTGTACTGGTGCCCTTTTAGGGCCAAACGTACATCCAACATACAATTTTCAATAACAGCAAAAATAGCGATAAAGTAAAGAAAATGAGATTACATTCTTCAAATGACATATAAAATGATACTTTGATATAAGAATCCTGTCTCTACCAATCATTAGATAGATTCATTCTAGTATTGTCAAACTCATAATATTGTATTGAAACAAGTAAATGTGGCATTAACATGCAAAATGACACCACCATTTGTTACAGATGCCAACCGTTGATCGCTACCCATCGATCGCCAACTGGCGTCACAAAAACGAAGACCATAACAATGTGTCACCACTTTTTGGTGATGACATAATAAATAATTAAATGACTGGATGACAATAGGTACATGGAAGTTTTTGCTTTTAAGCGTCTCTTACTCTGAATTTACATTCGAGGTTAGCATATTTCATATGCTTTTCACGACACATATTTTATATGTATTTAGGAAAAACAATTTCAGTCAATTAGTTTTTACATGAAGCTGCTTTTTTTAAAAAGATCAAATATATTTTTGACCACCAATCAACAAGATAACATTATAAGTTATTGAATGATTTGAAGTGCAATATAGGATATATTCTGCTTGAGAAATTCTGTATTGGAAAGAGACGAAATCGAGTGCCAATAATGATTATCGAGAGCAATCAGAAGGCTTCATTTTACAGATCATACGATAATGGCACTTGTAAGAGACATAAGTCAGAGACAATAAGCAAAGCTGTGAAGTCAGACATGTTAAGCCACAGACATTCAGTCAATCTTAACCTACATTGTAAGAGACATAAGTCTGAGACAATAAGAACAGCTGTAAAGTCAGACATGTTAGGCCACAGACATTCAGTCAATCTTAACCTACATTATACAAGGTGTCAAATAAATATGTTCTTCCCCATTAGTTTTAACATCTACACAATCTGTACGATATCTAAATTGCTCTTTTGCACATTAAAATAAGGCTTCATGGAGCAACTCCACAAGAAGTTTCAGATGACTAGCTCAATTTGATGTACTTTAATGCTCAAAAGTTCATAATTTTGAAATCAAGAGGGGGAACATTTATTTGACACCCTGTATATAACACAGGTCCTAAAATAGACCTTTGAGGTACTCCATAAGATAAACATGATCTTCATGTATCTTCCACATTAAAAGCAACTTTTTAAATGCAAATATTCTCTTTGGACCCAAATTAATTTTGTTATTCCTTGCATTTATACATTATCCTCATTTACATTTTCTATTGACAAATAATATACAATATCCAATGTACAATAACCAATGTATAATTGCCAATGTACATTATCACAATTTAGTATTTGAAACAACTTTCTCAAAAACTGCTCAAATCAAAAAGAAAAAAAAATGTGGAAAACGCTAAATAAAAAGTGCCAAATTAACTTAATTTACAGTCCCTTTGAACATGCTGAATTACCAACTAGCTCTGTAGTCCACTGTGACTGAAGTTCATATTGCAGCTATTCTGTTGGTGTCCTTACTATTTTTACTTCATGTTTAAACTCATCTGGGACTTTGAACATTGGGCCGTGTCCTGGTATAATATAGTCTGCAAGTTTAAATACTTCAATCCTGCTTTGTTCTTGGTCTTCTGGTAATTCACTATTATTTTGCCAAATGTCGGAGTCCTCCAGATCTTCAAATTTTTCAAATGTATCACCTGAAAAGAGAATTACATTTGGTGGGTCATTGAAAGAAAATTACATTTGGTGGGTCATTGAAAGAAAATTACATTTGGTGGGTCACTGAAAGAAAATTACATTTGGTGGGTCATTGAAAGAAAATTACATTTGGTGGGTCATTGAAAGAAAACTACATTTGGTGGGTCACTGAAAGAAAATTACATTTGGTGGGTCATTGAAAGAAAATTACATTTGGTGGGTCATTGAAAGGAATTACATTTGGTGGGTCATTGAAATGATCTTTTAAGGATATTTGAGATTTTTATTTAGTCAGCAATTCAAGTTACCATAAGCTGTGTTAATTTGTAAATATGAACTAGCAGTTTGTTGGATTATGAAGTGAAATTTTCTTTGGTAGCCTGTATTTCTTTTTATCCAGTCGAAGAAAGCATAAAAGTGGGATATGTTTATATATGGATTTTCTGATGCAGGTCCAATTCTTTTGTTTAACTGGCTCTTAGCATCATCACCCTTGGTATACGCAGCTAACGAAAATTGACCGGTACGGGTCAAAAGCTGGACCGGTACGGGTTAACGGTTTTATTTGAATTTAAAACAGCCATAACTTGCTCAATATTGACTTCCTCGTGTCTAATTTGAAATATATGATGCCTCCCGATGCTTTTAAGTACCCCAATTTTTTACAGATTTTTAAACGGACCAAAACTCTCTAAATGCGCATTTATGCTCTTTTCTCTCGAGAACGACTGTCTCATTTTCACGATAACTTTTATTTAGTACTTCTAACATATAAAATCTATTTTTCCCCATCAAGGTATGATGTAAATGGCATGCTATTTACATCTTGTGAGTTTCAATGACGCGCGTTTGATTTTATAAAAAATGCCAAACTTTGTGACAAAGAATCTCATCAGCTATTGCCCCGAACCGGTCCGTCTTCTCGCTGCAAGCAGATTGCCCCGAACCGGTCCGTCTTCTCGATGCAAGTAGGATGAAATTCTTTGTCACAAAGTTTGGCATTTTTTATAAAATCAAACGCGCGTCATTGAAACTCACAAGATGTAAATAGCATGTCATTTACATCATACCTTGATGGGGAAAAATGGATCTTATATGTTAGAAGTACTAAATAAAAGTTATTGTGAAAATGAGACAGTCGTTCTCGAGAGAAAATAGCATAAATGCCCATTTAGAGAGTTTTGGTCCGTTTAAAAATCTGTAAAAAATTGGGGTACTTAAAAGCATCGGGAGGCATCATATATTTCAAATTAGACACGAGGAAGTCAATATTGAGCAAGTTATGGCTATTTTAAATTCAAATAAAACCGTTAACCTGTACCGGTCCAGCTTTTGACCCGTACCGGTCAATTTTCGTTAGCTGCGTATACCAAGGGTGATCATCACTGAATGTGTAGCAAAGAGGTGAGTATTGCTGTATGTGCTGTACTACAGAGTACAGACTGTATGTACCTGTGATTACTACTGTGCCGTAGCAAGTTCTAAACAACATGAAATCCTAGGGATGAGTATAACTATGTACCTTAACTACAGACTGTACGTACCTGCGATTACTACTGTGCCGTAGCAAGTTCTATAGACAACAACAATAAATTCCAGGGGTGGGTTTCACTGATTGTACCTTAACTACAGACTACACATACCTACGATTACTACTGTGCCATAGCAAGTTCTATAGACAACAACAATAAATCCCAGGGGTGTTTATCACTGATTTTACCTTAAATACAGACTGTACATACCTGTGATTACTACTGTGCTATAGCATGTTCTATAGACAACAACTCCAAATCCCAGGGGTGGGTTTCACTGAATGTACCTTAAATACAGACTGTACATACCTGCAATTACTACTGTGCCATAGCAAGTTCTAAACAACATGAAATCCCAGGGGTGGGTGTCACTATTATACCTAAGATTACTACTGTGCCATAGCAAGTTCTATAGACAACAACAATAAATCCCAGGGGTGTTTATCACTGATTTTACCTTAACTACAGACTGTACGTACCTGTGATTACTAATGTGCCGTAGCAGGTTCTATAGACAACAATAAATTCCAGGGGTGGGTTTCACTGATTGTACCTTAACTACAGACTGCACATACCTACGATTACTACTGTGCCATAGCAAGTTCTATAGACAACAACAATAAATCCCAGGGGTGGGTTTCACTGATTGTACCTTAACTACAGACTGTACGTACCTGCAATTACTACTGTGCCATAGCAAGTTCTATAGACAACAACACTGACATCACCACGGGTGTGACCTGGGGTGGGTATTACCTCAACATAGGCATCTATTTCATATGGGATTCCCTATAAGGAACAATGTACAAACATGTCAACTACATATCATGGTATGCATAAAAGCTACTCCAAAAGCTTTACAAACTGTTAATTCTCTACTGAATTAGCCAGGATCAAAACTGGGTGAGGCATTATGCTCATATTTATTGTACTTTATTCATGCTTTATGATGCATATGTTAAACATTTAATATGTCAGTGATAAGACTTAATTTATTGGAAGGTAGTTTTCTGCTCATCATTTCTTACTTCTTTAAAGGCCCAATGTAAAGTTTGAGAATTAGCTTAATCATTCAAATACCAAGACCTGAAATATCATTTGACACAATTCTTTTGAAAAATATAACATTATGACATTTTTTGCTAATGTTTTTGGCAATTGATTGTTTGTGTATTTTTGACATCGGGTAGGACTATAAATATGAGCTTAAGTGGTTGAAACAATACACGGGGTCTTTAAAATCATTTTATCTTACCTGTTTGAAATCATGTAACTGATATTCATCCCCTTTGCTTATATCATGTCCCACTATGAAGGTAGCATTAGGAAATAAGTTGAGGTTCCCTACATGGTCACTATGTCCATGTGTACAAACTACATAATGTACATCATCTGCTGTTAGTTCATGCCTCGCGAGTCCTGGAAAATTGAAAGATAATTCAATAGAGGAGTTTCCATTTAGCTTTGAAATGTTGCTAATTCTTGTTTTTCATGAATTTTTAAGAGATTTGCACATTTAACAGTACATACAGTTATGTAATTTAGATCATTTTCTATGGCTTTTTCAAAAAAAACTTGGGCCAGATCCCCATTTAGATTGGTTTATTCGTTTGACAACCAAAATTTCATGATTAATAATCACAATATGTACAGGGTGTCAAATGGCGTTGTGCCCCCTATCCCCAGCATAAAATAGAAGAGGTACACATGCACACTATATACCATTGGAAAGAGCATTTAATTGTTATAAGAGAGTGAAAAGATGAAGATAGATGATAGAAAATAATACATCATTTGAACCAACTTTTAAAAGAGAGTTTGATCATCCCCGGTAGCTTTAAACGGCTGCCAGTCAGGCTGGATATCAAGTTAAAAGGGCATTGAAAAGAGCAATGTCTTGAGCAGAGATCTCAATACTTTTTTAGGTTCTCCTGGAGGATATCTACGGAATATCTGTTCTCTACAGCTTCAACTTCCATAAGTAGCTCTGTTTTATCCATTAATATGGGCTCAATTTGAACTGAAGCATTCAAGTCAGAGTTGTTGCTCGGGTATTCACCAATACCAAAAAGGTATATGCAGGAATTTTTAAAAATCAATAAAAATAGCACTATACTGGTGCATTTCAAATGCTTATGAAACTTTGTAGCAATATCTGACCCTGGTCATCTAGGGTTCATTTTATCCAGAATTGAATGCTCTTTCTAATGATATATATAATGTATGTGTACTTCTCCTAGTTAATGCTGTGGAAGGGGGGCACAACGCCATTTGACACCCTGTACATTGACAGGGTCATCCCATAGTATGCCATTCCAGTTTCAGTTGATTCAACCAACACTTTTTCATAAATCATTAAATTGAGTGAATATTATAGTATGGAAGACTATGGCCGTCTGGTCCAAGAAAAATGAAGAGTGACAATTGACATCTGTTATTTCAGCTATATAGAAACTATACTATTGATCTTTATAGTTGTGTTTCATAGATGAAATAATATATTTTATCATCAATTTACTCGTCCATTATAGATTTTGTATAGTGTAGGCATATTTTTTTATTTGTACTTTTATTTTAGTTTGTGACTATCATATACAACCCCTGTCATGTATATATAATGTTTGTTCTGTAGTAGAGTACTGTGTTCCTGTAACTATTAGCATTATTACATTGCCTGTAGACACTATATCTCTAGATTCTAGTTCATGCTAGATGCTTTTCATTTCTAATACTTATTTGGTGAGAGTATGCAAAAAGTATTAAAAAATATATATAAAAATATTAAAATTGCTATTTGAAAAATACGATCGCTATTTTGAAAACCTCATTAAAAGGTAATTTGGTATCTATATTTTGAAAACATATTACAGAAAATCAAGCCTATACAATACATGTATAGTTGATTGCTTTCTCATTACCTTGAAGTATAAGTGATTTGTCCTGTGGAAGACCAGTGTCCACAATTATATTGTGAGGTCCTTTAACAAGCGTGATTGTGCCACATGCATTTGAGGTTGAACCACCTTCCTGTACAATGCTGTAGCCTTCTTTGAGGACATCTATCGTATATGGGTAAGAGATATCTGTGTTCCCCAATTCCATCTCCCCGTGGAGTGCTAATTGAATAAATCTAAAAGAAATCATTGGAACACCTGGTGTCATCATGTATAGTATACAAAGTATATAGGTAAAAATGAAAAGTCCTGGTTCGACTGTTCCCTATGTATCAAAATGAAATGAATATATAGTAATGTGAGTAAAGTGAAAGTGAAAAATCAAAAAAGAAGTTCAAAGTTTTTTATTTTCGTACAAAACGAGCAATATTTGACAAAAAGAAGCCTGAGAGAAGCCAATAATTTTCACGTTCATAGATAAATACCTTCTGTATTTGAAGTTTGTACCTAGTGCCTTGAAATCGTATGAAATCCAGAGATATTACATTAAAATCACAGAATCATCTGGAAATTCTGGAAAATTTAACGACATTCAACCTTATTCACTTTTGATAATGTGTAATCGACCAATCAGATTCGTCGTTACATTTAGCTTTGAAGGCGAAAACCGCCATTTTCGATTTTCGTAAGTTGAATATTTTTGTTTTGTTTTTCTTCTATTTACTTATTGTTAAGGTAGAATCTATTAATTCGGTGATGTTAAATGCTTTCCTTATATATATGTCGCTCCGTTTATGTTAGTATGGGTTGTGTCAAACTCTTATATATGAGGTTAAATGTAATAAATCATTTTTCAGATTCTCGAATTTTTGGCGGTTCAGGTTTTATTTTTTATTTACTTTAGAAAGATACATGTACAATAATGTGCCTACTCCAGATCGCATATATAAAGTATAGAAAAACTAGTCTTCTACCACAAGTAGATATACCACGTTCTTGGGGTCTATGTTAGTATGTATCCAACAGACCGAATATAATATTCGGTCTGTTATGATTGATATATTTCCAGTGGAAATCGCGGTGATATTTTTTGCACATTAATTTCTCGTTTATTATAAGAATGTTCACCTTGAAAATTGGTGAATATGTTGAAGAGATGTTCATCTTAAACTAGAAGCAAAAATATTTGTATAAGGCGGGTACAAGTTGATATAAAATAATGAAATGTTCAGACTCACCAAAACTTCAGGATGTGTTCATAAGTAGATCGCGAAATCAATGTCAAGGACGTTTGAGTTCACGAGATCCAAACGAGATATGCAAATTTTGAACTTTGACAACACATGACCACTTGATTACCTCGGCCTTCTTCATGAATATTTCCGCTCTATTTACTATAAATGAAGAAAATTAATCGGGATAATGATAATGAATGACTAGATCTAATAAATTCCCGCACAAATGGAATTTAGCAATACGCTTCCGTAATGTTGTTCCGTCCGCTCCACGTGTTATTTGTTATTTGTTTACAAATAGACTGACGTCACTGGCTAAATCTCGTTTATCGTGAGAATTGGCATTGCCAAAATGGCTTGACCTAATCAATGGCTTCGCTACAAGAAGCGTCTGTACATTTTATGAATATCTTCAGTAAGAGGACAATATACGAAAAAATAATATTGTAAGTTCTTTATAAGGTAATCATTTTATCATTAAACAAACTTATTTGTAACATTTATACAACACCACATTTTACAATAGGTGACTTACAGTCTGAATATTTATTCAGACGAAGGATACAGTCTAGGGCCTATGTGCTTTTGACTTATCTAATTATAAGCTCCCTTTACAGCGTAAGGTGATAAACAATGGCTGAGGATGAAGAAGTTCCAATGGAGCAAGATAATGCATCCATGGGAACCACGATAGGCAGTTCTGGAGTACCAGGTAATCATGCGTAATTCCAACATGACTGTATTCTGTAAACAAAGTCAACATTTCACCCAGGATATATTCGCAAACAAAACCCCTGGTAATGCGTGTAATGTGTGACGCCATAACGGCGGGTCGTAGTAATGGCGGACTATAATGAATAAGTGAAACATTTTGGTGAGTTTTCATGTTCGGAATACTGGGTAATGATGCGTAATTTATGGCTCCACCACAAGTGGATGGTGTTCAGTTGGTGTTAATCGGCTTTTGTAGCAAATGACAATTTTTTATTCAGTCAACCCGTTTGTTATTTTTTTGTAATGGAATTTAACCCTGTTTCTTGATGAAACCACATGTATTTTTGATCAAAGAATATCTGAATGATAAAGTAATTGTTTTTTATAAATAAGTTGAAATTTGAATGTGATTGCAATATTTCAGAGTATGAGCCTATTGTGGTACCACCAGGTCCCGAGGAGGCAGGGCTGTTCGACAAAACTGGCCCAAGACTCATGATTACACACATTGTAAATGAGAACTTCAAATCTTATGCTGGGATCAAAACTCTAGGGCCATTTCACAAGGTAATTATGAGTAAATCATTGATCTTCCCAGCATTAAAGCAAGTGGGCCCTGCACCTTGAGATTTTAAAGAATTTTGCACCAACTTGAGAAAAAATCTTGGAGAAAATTGATCTTGGTGTTGCATCTTGTCTAAAATTTTAAAATAACAGCAACAATTTATCAAGACTACATAACACATATGTCAAAATGTTTATTCAAAAATATTTTGTTGTTTGAAAACAAAAAAGTCAGTTTTATGGCTTATATATTTGGATATCATGTTCAATAAAACTTGCATAGTCAGTGGGACCAGCTTTATGTGTTCAGATTGGCAGGTGTTCACATCTTGAGTCTTTTTAACATGGAAGTCCATGGCAGATTAGAAATTGGACTGAAAAAAGCAAGGTGCTCAAATAAGAAGGTTTTACTGTACTTTTAAAGTCAAGAATTTTATTATCTGTTTTCAGAGTTTTTCCGCCATCGTTGGACCAAATGGATCAGGGAAGTCAAACGTTATCGATTCCATGTTATTTGTCTTTGGTTACCGTGCCAACAAGATCAGATCCAAGAAAATCAGCGTCTTGATTCACAACAGCGAGCATCACAAAAATATCACGTCATGCTCTGTCGCTGTCCATTTCCAGAAAATCATTGACACTGGGGTAAGGTTCTGAATTTGTTTGCTTTCTTTGTCGTAAATTCTTTGTAATAGATTTAATTATTTCCTTCAACTAAAACGTTCAAGTGCAATTTCATTGACAAAGGCCAGCTTAGGTAAAACTGCACTTTCTTCCATTTTGATGACCATGTGCTTTTTTCAGATGGACATTACTCATTCTAAACAAAATCTAAATCTCATTTTTTCATAAAATATGCTTTAGTGTACCCAGATTATTAATTGAGTGTTAATTCTTCTTTTCAAAATTGCACAAAAATTCCGATCATGCAGATCTACCTTGAACACAAAATAGTCATTGAGATGTTTTCTTAATGATTAGATAATATTTAATTTGAAAATATGATATTGCATTGCTTCCATCACAAATGATAAATATACCCAATGAATTTTATTTCAATCTCAGAATGCATTTTCATTTTTAATAATGTACACAATCAAATAAACAATTTATTTCTAGGAAGGAGATGAAGATTTTGATGTAGTTCCAAACTCCAAATTTGTCGTAAAGAGGACAGCATCGAAAGATAATTCCTCATTTTACCAGCTAAATGGCAAGCGTCTTCAATATAAGGAAGTGGCAGTGTTGCTACGGCAACAAGGAATTGATCTCGATCATAACCGCTTTTTGATTCTCCAGGTTTGTAAACAAAGAAATGTTTTGAATATCAACCCAAATCTGTACTAGGGTCCAAATTTCAAATTTTTTGTCTGATCGTTACATTGAAACCTAGGAATCATCTTGGAATGATGTCAGAATTTGTGGATAATGAAAAAAGACATGATATAAAATAATGAGATCAAAACGTATTTGAACATGTGTCAATCTTTTAGAAATTTATTCTGAACTCATCTTTACCTTTCTTGTCCTCTTAAGCTGAACATCCTCTTCATAATCCACCAGTTTTACAAAAATCAAAAATTCAAATGAAATATTCTATGGTTTCAAAACTCAGTTGTCTTAGTATCAATGGCAGCAACCACTTTTCACTCTTAACAAACTTGAAAAATGAGTTGTCTATTGTTGAATGGATAGAACATCAAATGCCAGTACTGTACATGCATATTAAATTGTGGCCTCCTTAGTACTGAACTCTGACTTTTTATTGATGTTATAGGGGGAAGTTGAACAAATCGCTATGTGAAACCAAAGCAAAATATTAATATCCGCACCTTGCGCACATGACATCCGCACCGCTTGTTTTTGTATAGCACAGTCTGCATGAAGTGGTACTGAACTCTGACTTTTAATGTTATAGGGGGAAGTTGAACAAATCGCTATGATGAAACCAAAGGCTGCTACAGAGCATGATGAGGGAATGTTAGAGTTCCTAGAAGATATTATTGGGAGCAGTCGCTTTAAGGAACCCATAGAGCTACTGACAAAACGAGTAGAGGATTTAAATGAAATGAGGGGAGAAAAGGTATTTGTTCTTTGTCTTGCTGTGTTGACTGATCTTGAATCATTTGGTAGCCTGGTTGACTATCTGTGCATTCTTTTTCAGAATTTTTTTTGGTTTAAGAGAACGTGTCAAAATTTGTTTTAAATCATTTTTCATCCTTAATTTTTCGGGTGTCAAATTTGGAAAATGTGTTTATCTAATTAGCATGTCCTAAATGTCACTTTCACTAAAAAAGTGAATGGTGTAGCAAACAGTGATAACTATACAATAGATTACAATCATCATGTACAAATTGAAAAATAAATTTGTTTCATCAATCAGGGGTTTCACTAGAATTTCTCACAACAGGCTAAATAAATGAAAAATAACAGGCAAAATTAATGGAAATCATAAATTTAACATGGAAAAGTTGAAAAGTCCATAAAAACAACAGGCGTTTTTGTGAAAACAACTGGTAAAAATTGCCTGTTGCCTGCTGCTAATGAAACCCCTGCATCAATAATCAATAAAGCTTGGTTGCTAAATGAGCAGATAATGAAACGGATAACATGACATGTAGAGTTTAGAGTAAAACTTTTGACACAACTTCTTATATTCTTCTTATATAACTTCTTATATATTCTTATATATATCAGTTAAACAGAGTAAAGGCTGTAGAGAAGGAGAAAAATGACCTTGAGGGATCTAAAGATGAAGCCATTGAGTACCTCTCTATGGAGAATGATATTGTGAAAAAGCAAAACAAACTTTATCAGAAGTACATGTAAGTATAACTTTAATTAAGAGATAAAAACTTCGATCTGTGATCTGTAGTAACATTATTGTGACAGCCACCTTTCTTGTGACAGATCATTACACTTTGGTGATTGTTACTTGATTGTGACATTTTGTCTTGTAAATTGGTGATTGTTACTTGATTGTGACATTTTGTCTTGTAAATTGGTGATTGTTACTTGATTGTGACATTTTGTCTTGTTAACTGGTGATTGTTACTTGATTGTGACATTTTGTCTTGTTAATTGGTTTGTTATAACTATTTCAAAGAAATATGTAAAGGAGATTTTGGTTGCCATAAGTTGTGCCAATAATATAATGAATAAATAAAATATAATATATAAATATTGAATACATAGAGATTATCCTATACACCCCCAAAATGCAATCTGATTTTCGACACCGTTTCGGTGCCAAATTTCGGTGCCGTTTCGGCACCAAATGGACTGACTAGTCCGGTAGCAAATTTTGGTGTCGAGAGGTTTCGGTGCCGGAACGGTGTCGGAACGGTGCCGAATTTGTTCGATGCCGAAACGGCGTCGAATTATATTGGCTGTGTAGTCGGTTCAGGATATTGGGATTATCCCGAGGCCAATATAATATATCTGCCCGAGGGCCGTAGGTCCCGAGGGAAGATATATTATATTGGCCAAGGGATAATCCCAATATCCTGAACCGACTATAGGATGATCTGTTTATCCCATACCAATCACATTGTTCAATTGTTGCAACCAATCGTGAAATTATTTTAAAATATTCATGTCAAGTTTTTTATTCTTGTCCGTAGCCGGATTTTCCTGTTCAAATATTTGATTATTAACGGGGCATACTGCTCCTTCCCTTCTCTAAAGCATCAAACAGATCGCGATTGTTTGCGTTTTTCTCCATTGTCGTTTGCAGTATGCGAACGTTACAAAAAAGAACAAATACGGGAACAGCGATTATGACGTAGCGGGCAGATATACTATATCTGCCCGCTCGGAGCGGGACGTAAAGCTATATCTGCCCGCTGATGAAAATATAAGTTTTTACAAACCGGCTTTATGTACCCGTAACATGTCAAAGTATGGGATAAATGAGATATATGTTGTATAATAGATAAATTGATAGATGAGCACTAAAACAACATTATTCATTTCTTCAGAGAATTTTTTTATTATATCAAGGCTTTCAACTTGTATCCCAAAGCCTCTTTCAAGATTTGAATTAAGTTGTTTTAGTATATATAAACCAGAGAGATGAACTTACATAGAACTAATAGATGAGTATAATTGTTTCACAGAAATGAGTGTGCTATAAATGAAGAGAAGGCGACGAAGAAGCGAGATGAGATCAAAGATGGAATGAAAGAAGTCACCGACAAACTGGAAGAGATTAATACAAATAAGAAAGAGAAAATAAAGGAACAGAAAAAAGTTCACAAGTAAGAATTTGTTATTTGTAATGAATAAAAAAACATTCACATTTATGTTTTTTACGAAAATTTTGCATGAAACAAATGATCAATTCTTTTAGTTCAGTTTTTATGGTAGATTTGAAAAAAACTGTAGTTTTGGTGGAAGATTTCTTTTAAGACACGGTATTTATTTATTTATTCACAAGATTTTTTAAAAAGATGTTTTTTCAGTGAATCTGAAAGCATGTAGGGAAAATATGGTAAAGTAGTTTGTCATTTTTTACAGAGAGGCAAAAATTTTATTGTAGATTCCTGTAAAAATTTAGGATAAAGGTAGGATTACCAACAACAAAAATATTATTATCCCACCCAAACTATAGATATAGTAAAGCTGTCCGTTTGTCCATTGCCTGTTCATCCATTCAAATGTCCAGACGGTAATTCAAAGACCAGTTGACAGATTTGATTTAAATTGTATATGCTTACTAAGGAGCGCTGCTTTTCTTAGGAACGAAAAGGTTTTAATTGGTAATTCAAAAGTATTTGGATTTCTAAGATTAAGATCAGCACTGGGTTTTATGAACCTATCAAAGATATCAGAAACATAGTTTGGGATTTTAGATCATTCTTGGAAGATCTTCTTTGATCAAGTGTTGACCAATTTAAAATTTTGAAAACTTATTCAACTGAAGGGCCATTTATAGACCCTGAACATATCTTTGCTGTTTTGTAATATTTTTTCAAATTTGCAAGTTTTGTTGTTGAATATAATATGTTATTTGCTGGAATTACACCCGAAAAAACGCTAAAAGCGCTTTACAAAATCGCCATCCTGAATACACAAACAAGGAATTATATTTTGAAATTACACATGTCATTTCTAAAATGCTTCTCGTGCACTTTTAACAATGTAGAATCGGAACACCTGTTGACAATGTAACAGCAGTAATTACTATTAATTAAATATGTCAACTGCATTGATGTTTCTCAGATGGATGTCCAGTTTATCTTCACTAAATCAAAATTCAACTATTTTAATTTAATTGAGACTATTGATTTTATGTGTGTGTTTCTCTTGAGATTTTACTATTTATATGAATGAATCACACATTTATTTAAGTATCAATGTCTGTCATATTTGGCAAAATGCTCATAATACAGTATTACATTATAGTTACATGCCTCGTATGTATTTATCTGCAACATGTTCAGATATATTAGCATCAATATTACAAATGGGTCATATATGTATTGTATATTCAATTACTAAAAATACACATATCACATGTTCACCATAATTATCACATGTATACATCACATTTGCACCATATTTTTGGAGCAAATGTAATATAAATGTGTCCTTTTCATTGAAGAGATGGGTCACATCATGAACAGACTCAAAATGGACACTTTCCCCTATCTGCTGAAATATTCACATCTTTTCTACTGTATATACTGTGTTTGGATATTTTGTCACAAACACAGATGGATATGTTGTCATTTTTGGCTCACGCAGTGAGCCTATGGACCAGGTATCTGTCCTTCCGTTGGTCTGTCCATCCGTCCGTCAACATTGGCCGCACAAATTAAAACTGCTATTTTGATTGAGTCATATCCACATTCAATTTATGCATATCCATAATGCCTATTTGACCTATCATCGCCATATCCCAAGTTCGCCAAGTTTCCGAGAAATTGCTGATTTTGACGTCAAAAGTCAAATTTTCTTTAAATATTAAGGTTCTACACTGTGTGAGCACAGGACCGTGGGTCCTTTATTTTAATAACTATATCTGGATGTTCTGTCTTCATGTGGATTAGAAAATATAACTCTTTTTATGATCAGCAATCTCGTATGAAATTGAAAAAATTGAAAAATTGACCAATCGATCAAAGTGTGACTGTCAAATGGAATCATCAAAACTGTATTTTGTTGTTATTTTGATAATCCATTTTTATACAAGAAACTTGCTCAGTGCCAATAGATGACATTTAATGAAATGGAGTTAATTTCAAAACGAGGCAACATGAAATCTGGGTTACTGTCAAAAGATGGTAACTTGGCTACTGTGGATGTAATTTCATTAAAACCAACTGTGTCAAAGTATTGATAGAAGGAACAATCTTATTGGGATAGAAAGAACAGTCTCGTTGGGCCACTTCATGATACTGGTAAATCAATAAAGAGCAAAAACATCTCGACAATGCAGTGTCCTAGAAACGCAAAAGATGACAACTTGGCTACTGTGGATGTGCTGGGTTGTGCATTAGTAAACTCCTTGATTGCAAATATGATATTTCCGATTAATTTCATTAAAACCACCTGTGTCAAAGTATTGATAGAAAGAACAGTCTCATTGGGCCACTCCATGATACTGGTAAATCAATAAAGAGCAAAAACACCTCAACAATGCAGTGTTCTAGAAACGCTGCTGATGATATATCATGCCACATATCACGAGGATGTTCACACATTTTTTTATTGTAACATTGCCAGTATTTTTTATCATTTTGTATTATTATCCCAATGAACATAGAGGACAACAACCAGCAAATATAAGACATAGTGAAAGTTCATCAACAAAAATGGAAGGAATATATAAAGGGAGAAACGGAATGATATCATATAAAGATGTGAATTACAGGTAAATCATAAGTTCTGATTATTATCCATGTGCATGTTATGTTAAACTGATGAAAATAAAAAAAACAAGATATGTTTGATTATGCCCTTGTCATGTGAAATTAAAATTTTACTTAGAAATCGATTTGTCTATTTGGTAGCGAGTGAATAATTTCTGCCATGTACAGTGATTATCTCAATTTTGAATTGTTTGTCAACATACAGAATATATGGCCAAGCACTTACCTTAGTGAATTCTTTGGATGTCCAAAACACCAACAAATAATTACACTTTATAGAATGAAATCGAATCACAAGCATTATATAACATGATGAAATATTAAAGTAGTTTGAGGTAATAAGCTACTCACTATAACTGACTATATTTATTCACAGAAAGTTCAATTTTGATCCAAACGATGACAACATTATTATCTTACTTCGCATCCAAAAAACTGGAGGAACATGGTTCGAATCTGCACTGGCAAGAACGCTAAATATAACACCTAGATGTCTGTGTACAGGGATACGGAGTTGTCAGTGCCTGAACAATCATGGTCATGCTTGGCTCGTCAGTGGGTACTTCACACTTGGTTGGCCATGTGGACTACATGCAGACTGGACTGAACTCACCGAATGCATTAATGAATATTTTGATAAATATGAAGGAGTTCAGAGGAAAAGGGGGTAATTATGAATTATTTTATTGGCCGATTCATTCTCAACCAATGAAGAATATGGACAAGAGTATGAAATATGGTTTGTCCACACAGAAATTATATATATATCTGCTTTTAGCATTTAAAGAATACATTTTTGAACAGTATATGGTGAAATCAAGCTTATATGATACTTTAACGCTATGATATGGTAACTCTTTGAATAGACGACCTCTGAGTATATGAACTTGTGAGTAGTGTTCTACAAAGTTACCTTTTAACATACCAATTTCTCAAAAACAGAAAATATTTAAAAGATGATCACAAGTCAGATAAATACTATGGATAGACATATTATACATACATGTGTATATCGTAATACGAATTGGAATTTTAATTGTTATGACCTTTGGAAAATAGCCATTTACCCACTTACTATATTGACCAAGTATGATAACCCAATGTTGAACTGCCTAGATGCCTGGGCAGACAGAGGGACAAAGATAGAGGGAGAAAACCTTGCTTTATAGTTAGAAGATAGTAGAAGCATAAAAGTAGTACTCATATTTATTCATATTTATTTTTCCAGTTATCTTTACATCACACAGTTGCGAGAGCCGATTCAGCGTTATGTGAGTGAATGGAAGCATGTCCAAAGGGGAGCTACTTGGAAAAGACGTTTTAAATGCAATGGGCAGGAAACAGCAAATAAATTACCAACATGTTTTGATATGAAATGGAAAAATGTCGCTCTTGATGAGTTCATAAATTGTCCAGGGAATCTTGCTATAAACAGACAGACTAGAATGCTAGCAAATTTATCATTGGTTGACTGCTATAATACAAGCACAATACCAAAACCAGAAAGAGATAGAATAATGCTTGAAAGTGCAAAAAATAATTTAAAGGATATGACATATTTTGGGTTAGCAGAATATCAGAAATCAAATCAATGTCTCTTTGAATATACATTTGGTGTGAATTTCACAAAGAAGTTTGCACAGAGTAAAAGAAAAAGTTATGCTGAGAAGTCAAAACATGACATTTCATCCCCGCAACTTATGAAAATCAAAGAACTGAATAATCTTGATATTGAGTTGTATGAATATGCAAAGGAGTTATATTTTCAAAGATTAGAAAAGGGCAACTTGTTGGATTAAAGGACGATTCTCGGTTTGGAGAACAGTCTCCTGGGCTAATAATTTTTTTATGAAAAATATAGAAATATTACCCAAATTAACCTATGCATATTCAAAAGAGGACATTTAAATCTACAAGATGTAAAAATAACAAATTGGTCTGAAGCAGGGATAATGCTCAATTAGACCGATTCAATAAAATACAAGTCTCGATTTGGGGAAAGAAGTTCATCAGTGTACTGCGCTAATAATTTTTTGCGAAAAATCTAGAAATATTACCCAACTTAAACTATGACTATTCAAAAGAGGACATTCAAATCTATATTATGTTAAAAAATCAAATTTGTCCGAAGCAGGGATAATGCTCCTTTAGAATGATTAACTTCGTTCTCCAAACCGAGAATCGTCCTTTAGGATTAAACGGTTGATCAGGAACTTCAGATTCAGCATCTAATATTCTTTGTCTTGAACATTTGCAATTAAAATTTTGTTTAATATGTTACCATTATGTATCTTACAGGGGTACTGGCATGCTTTATTAATGCAGCAATAAACTCACTTCACCAATTTTGCAATCGTTCCTGAAATTGGATAAATAAATCTCTAGGAGTTTTCGAATGATTAAAGTAAACAGACACTAAGGGTCTGTTTGAAAAACTACAGATTTCAGGATGTTATTATGACACTTCAGGGTGATCAAGTTCCAAAAGTCAACAATAACATCCCAGGTTTACAGTACTTTTGACCAAAATTTAGAGTTTGAATCGCATATTGGTCAGGCTTCAAGGAAATTTGACAAGTTACTAAATCATTTAAATTCAAATGTTTTATCACATTTAGACCTCTATGATGTAGTATATGAATGTGAAAACTCTATGGCTTTAAAAATGGATTACATTATAAACGAAGCAGTAATTATCTGTTTAGGTGTCATCCATGGATTTTCCACCATAAAGCCCTTAATATTTTAAATTGGCCAACACTTGAAATTCGCAGAAAACTACATAGAATGTTTCAACCTTGAAGATTAATAAGGGAAATTAATTTAAATAGAATGTTGACTTGATCGTAAAGGAAATTTGAAAAGTTACTAAATCATTTAAAGAGTTTACTGAAAAAATCAGTTGTAAACTTCTTCAACATGTTAAATTTTACCACATTTTGACCTCTCTGAATAGAATTAGAGTAGATTTAATATATAAGGCACACTTGCATGTACAATAACTTTGTAAATATTCTGTCACTTGATTGTGCTTGTGGCCACACAAATGGAACCACAAGTCATGTATTTTTCTCCTGTCCTTCAATAAAACTATTTTATTGTTTTTGAATAACAACATTGTGATCTTGATGTTGGCTATAGGAACTTGTGTAAGAACAGGTAGAAAAAATGCACTCTATTCTGTATTGCCATAAATTGCTCAGGTATGAGCAAAACAAGGAGATTTTGAGTAAGTACAGTGTTTATCAAGCATTGTGTTGAGGGACCCAAGGCAGTCTTGTGATTTACTGTAGTATTATCATAAGCAGACCTAGTTTTGTAATTCCCATCTTTTAAAGTGGCTAATAATGTAATTTACAAAAAGCCATTCAAATGTACTTGCATTATGTTAATAATTTGAAATAAAATTCTAATGATAAAAAATGCTGGGTGAAAATGATGTTTTTTGTCTTAAAGGGCGATGAAAGAATGGAGAAATATGAACTTTTGTAAAGTAGTTTAACATTTTATATGGATGGCAAAATTTTCATGGTTGACAGGTCTGGACTGTCCATGTGTGTATACCCATAATGCTTGTTTATCCATAAAAATTTTGGTTTGTACTATATCCAGGAAATGTCCATGTTTTTAAATCCTGACATATCTTAGTGTATCCATAAAATGTCCATATTTATATATCCAGAAAATGTTCATGCTGTATATCCATAAAATGGATAAGTAAGTTTGCATATCCATGAAATACCTTAGTTTGTAAAATGTCCATGTTTGTATATTCAAAAATGTCCATGTTTGTGTATTGTAGGAGATTTGACGCATTGACAAAGAATGTTGATGAAACGAAGGAACAATTTTCTGAGTTTGAACAGCAAGATGTCAAATGTCGAGAAGATCTTAAACACAGCAAGAACAAAACCAAGAAGTTAGAAAAAACTCTTGAACAAGAAAAGAAAAAGGTTAGTCTTTACGAATTAGAATTTATAAATCACTTTTTAAAACTTATTTATTATTGATTGTCTTTATGATTTCTCAAAAGTAAAAATTATTTTGAAGATGTCTCCTATTGTTAAAGTAAAGTTGATGTTAAATAGAATATAAACTTAGAATTGTTTCTTCAACTAAGACCATCTTTTTGAAATGAATACCAGATGTCAATTAATCTCCGAATCGCTCCTGTTTTTAGCTGCTACCTTTTGATATAGTGAGGTTATCAAAAGTTTAAATAAGAAACATTCATGTAAATTGCTTCTATCTTTAGTTGGAAGAATTGTAACTAGCGCCTTCTGAGAATGAAAATGTTATTGAAAAGTTAAATAAGAAACATTCATGTAAATTGCTCCCATTTTTTAGCTGGAAGATATAAAACTAGCACCTTCTGAGAGTAAAAAGGTTATTGAATGAAAACTTAGCTAAGAAACATTAAAGTTGCTCCTATTTTTAGCTGGAAGAATTAAAACTAGTGCCTTCTGAGAGTGAAAAGGTTATTGAAAACTTTAAGAAGAAAGAGAGTCTTCTTGAGAAAGAGAAAGCTAAAGAGGAAGAGACTCTGAAGAAAGTCATGGACAGTTTGAAGACAGAAACAGAGGTATGTATAGTTAAGGTAATTCCTTATGTTCAGAATTATGATGCAATCCTCATTGAAGTCACATGTTAATTTCAAATATGAACTCACTTCCCCCATGATCTACATCTTTCAATCTTTCACAAAGAGTGCGCTAATCTACCTAGAATAGAGTCTGGAGAATATATTTTTTATAATATGTATAATAAATGAGAAAATTCAATGACCTACTTTTTGTACCTTTAACTCCATGAGGATTGCATCAAAATGACTGATAGTACATGGTATCCTTAGATTTTTTGAATCACTCTCTGTTGATTGTTCAGAAAAAATTATGTTGGCCAGCTCTATACTGAAAGTTAATGAAAACACAGTTCAAATGAAGTCCTATGCTAAATGCTGATGTGCTGGACACAGACATTGTTTCAAGATTCACTTTTGCATATATAGGGACTCCAAAAGCAGAAGGATGCAAAAGAGAAAGAGCTGCTCGAAATGCAGCAGGAACTCAGTGAGAAAAAATCCAAGATGGACGTCGCCCAATCAGAACTTGACCTATATCTGAAAAATCAGCAGACAGCGGATATGAAACTGCGTGAAACTGTCAGAAATCTGGAGAAAGCCTCGTCAACATTAAAAGAAAGAAAAAGGTTAGAAAATTCTTGCATTTTTGGCAAATTTAGAAGATTTGTATGTAAATCAAACAGTAAGAAAAATGTGCTCATTTTTAAAAAGTTCATTTTCGTACTTGGTATTTGATCACAACAGGCTTCAAACAAATTTGCGTAGAAACATGATTAAAAATGTCATTGCATGTGATGGTTCATTTTTGAAGGTTGAATCTTTTTTATTAAGAGTGATATCCAGAAACCCCAAAAGCAAATTAATCCACAGCTGGACCAGAATTTACACCTGATCATTTTAGGAACATAAAACCCCCACTAAAAATTCAAATGAGGTCCAATTTCTATAAAACTTGTATTTTCCTTGCTTTTCTTAGGTGTTATCAAGGTTAAGTATTCCTGACAAACAAAATTCACTCATACGGGTATTATATTAAAATATGACCTTGAAAATTTAGATTTGATGATAGAATTGTAAAATAAGTTTTACTAGGAATAAAACCATCCCTAAAAATTCACCCATTTTCTCTAAAACTTCATGGTTTTTTATTTTGTTGCATATCCATTTAAGCCAAATAAGATCACACCTGAGAGTTAATATAAGACATTTGTCTCCCTAATTTTTTTTACAGTGCTATACAGGAACTGGAAAGGCGTATCCCAGACAACCAGAATGCACTGTTAAAGGCCAAGAAAGATCTGAAAGAGGCAGCTGCACTTGAAGAGCAACTCAGTTCAAAGGTGAGAAAAATGAACAATCAATTAAATAAACTATAAATGAAATGAAACAATTAATAAAAATGAACAGTCAATCATAATGTACATTACAAAATGAACAATCAATCAATAAGAATTGAAAAGATCAATTAAAATGAGCAATCAATCAAAATGTACAATCAGTCAAAATGAACAATCAATCAAACAAACTATAAATGAAATGAAACAATTAATAAAAGTGAACAATCAATCAATAAGAATTGAAAGGATCAATTAAAATGAACAATCAATAAAAATGTACAATCAGTCAAAATGAACAATCAATCAAATTAAACAATCGAAATGAATAATCAGTCAAATTAAACAATCAATCAAAATGAACAATCAATCAAATTAAACAACAACTCAAAATTAACAATCAGTTAAATTGGAAAATCTATCAAAATGAACAGATGAACTAGAAATGTTATAAATTCACTGTTATACATTTGAATTTTTAGAAAATAGACATTATGGCCCTAATAAACCTTCTAAAGTTGAGACAAAGGAAATGGGAAATGTATTTTAAGTGTAATATTAGTTTCTATCTCATATTGTAGGTGAAGCAAAATCGCTTGAAGGTTGAAGAAGCGAGGAGTGCGATGGCATCGTCTAAGAGCAAAGGAAGAGTGCTAGAGTCGTTGATGGCACAGAAGAAAAATGGTAGAATTCCAGGCATTTATGGGAGATTGGTAAGACCATGTACATGTTCCTAAAATTACTGAAACATATTTAACATCCTCTGATCACAGGGCTTCAAAATCCAGAATACATCCTTTCTTTTCTTTTTACCCCCTGCGATAAGTAGTTAACATTTCTCAGATTAAGAAGTTGCAATCTGATTGGCTGTCCCAACACTGCGACAGAAATCACTGTATAAGTCATTGCGCATAATTAGAGCATGTGATTCAGTTAAATCGGGCGCTTCCAAATTGATTATAGCAGGGGGAAGAAGTAGGTACGGATTCTGGACACCTGCTTAGGAGGATGATATTTAAAGATTCTGTTAGATTTTCTGGATTTTCTCAAAAATGTGATTCTAATTTGGGTTGTTGGGAAGTATGGTGTTGCTATATGAACCAATTGTGGAATCCGTGGAAACGTTTTTCTATTGTATATATCATCTCTTGTTGCTAGGGTGATCTTGGTGCCATTGATGATAAATATGATGTTGCCATATCAACAGCTTGTGGCGCCCTTGACAACATTGTAGTTGATAGCATCAACACTGCACAGAAATGTGTGGAATACTTGAAGCGAGAAAACATTGGGTCAGCAACTTTTATCGGCCTTGATAAAATGCAACGCTGGGTTGAACATACTAGAAGGAAAATAAACACGTAAGTCATTGAGGATTTATTTTTCAAAATAAATGTTTTAAAATGTGCAAGGGGACTTCACACTTATAGGGTGATCTCGTTCACCAGGTTTCGATCCAAGTTTCTTTTCTTAAAATTCAGAAAACTGATCACTGAGTAAGTGACCTGTGAAAGTCACACTTTCTGAAAGACAATAGATTCACAATCTGTGCAATATTTTCAAGCTCTAATTCAGAAAGGAAAGCTTGTATAACAAAGTCTGTCGATAGTGCAGATTAAAGATTATTCTGATTATTTTAAATTTTGGCATATTTTAGAATCAGAAATAATATGAACTCAGAACTGAGCCCCTTTGAGAACCGAAAATATTTATTTTTCAGTCCTGAAAGTGTCCCAAGACTGTTCGATCTTGTTAAAGTGAAGGATGACACAATATTACCAGCTTTTTATTTTGCTCTGCGTGACACCTTGGTTGCTAACAACTTGGACCAGGCAACCAGAGTGGCCTATGGAAAGACTAGGTACAGGGTCGTGACCCTTGAAGGTCAACTGATTGACCAATCAGGTAAGTTTTAATCTTTAAAGCTGATTTGTCACCTTGATTGATCAATTCAAATTAAAACTTCAAGCAAATTGTTATTATTAAAGGACAATTAAAGCTGGACTACGCTCCGAAACGCAATCTTGGGTTGGCTTCGGGGGTGAACTTTATCATTTTGAGCCTAATGAAAGATTATAGAATGATGAACAAATGGGGCAAATCTTGTGTAGAAATACTTACGATAAATGTGTCATTTCAAAGATTATTCATTGAATTGCTTCGATCGGCGCCGACGATATGATTTTGGAAAAGTTTCTAAATGAAGAACGTGACGTCACTTCCGAATCATAGCATTCAAAATAAGTAGCGTTTAATTACTTCCAACATTCATTAGAAGACGGTGGTCTAGGGGTACAATTCTCGCTTAGCACGCGGGAGGCCCGGGTTCGAATCCCGCATTCGCCTTTTTATTTTTTTTAACTAAATGATTGTTCTTTGATATAACGCAGAAAAAAACAATTTTTATTTACATAAACTTTATATTAGAGCTTAAAAATGTAAAAACAATATATGTCAACATATTGCGTTTTGGAGCGATGTCCAGCTTTAATTGACCAATTTGGTGTAAATTCAGCGATCGCTGGTATCAAAGGTTAAATATCAATCAAACCGCTAGTTAACTGAAAGTGATCACATGACTTTTTATGCCACTGTAACAGCTATCGAGATGCACATTGAGTATTATTCATATTTGAATGAGTTGGCAGATAATTAGGAATCAAATCATCAGGCATCAGTTTACAGTCGAATTCATGAATGCCAGCTTAAGGCTTCCAGAATTGGAACATTGCTATACTTTTCAGGTACAATGAGTGGGGGAGGAGGCAGAGTCAGAAGAGGTAGAATGTTTTCTCGTGTGGTTGGTTAGGTCCAGTTTTGAACATTGTTTTATTTTATTTCACAGGTACAATGAGTAAGGAGTAGAGTCAGTAGAGGTAGAATGTGCTCCAGTGTGGTTGGTGATATTCACTAAATTTTGAACATTGTTTTATTTCACAGGTACAATGAGTGGGGGAGGGGGCAGAGTCAGTAGAGGTAGAATGTGCTCCAGTATGGTTGGTGATATTCACTAAATTTTGAACATTGTTTTATTTCCCAGGTACAATGAGTGGGGGAGGGGGAAGAGTCAGTAGAGGTAGAATGTGCTCCAGCGTGGTTGGTGAGATCCACTAGATTTTGAACATTGTTTTTTTCACAGGTACAATGAGTGGGGGAGGGGGCAGAGTCAGTAGAGGTAGAATGTGCTCCAGTGTGGTTGGTGATATTCACTAAATTTTGAACATTGTTTTTTTTTCACAGGTACAATGAGTGGGGGAGGGGGCAGAGTCAGTAGAGGTAGAATGTGCTCCAGTGTGGTTGGTGATATTCACTAAATTTTGAACATTGTTTTTTTTCACAGGTACAATGAGTGGGGGAGGGGGTAGAGTCAGTAGAGGTAGAATGTGCTCTAGTGTGGTTGGTGAGGAGATGAACCCAAAAGAACTTGAGAATATGGAAAGAATGCTCGAACAGGTACATCGACAAATTATCATACACAAGACAACGTTAGAGCAATTTATCCATAAAAGATATTAATTATAATACAACTTCAAAATTATTTGAAATATCAGGAAAGACCTAAAAAACTAAAGAGATAATGTAATGTGTATATAATACAGAATCTATAAGATTTGAATTTAAAAATTGAGTGGAGTATTTATTGATAAATATGTACTAACAAATTAAAAGCTTTAAAGACATAATCCTTATAAATAATCCCCAAAAGCCAGTCATAAAATCAACAAGCAAAATGTTCAAAATGGAAAAAACAACAAAATGGAAGCGATGCAATTACTAGAAAACAACTAAAACCCTCAAAACCATATGTTAATCTCTTTCAGGAACAACAAGAAGCCCAGCACTGTAGAGACAACAAGGCAAAGTTAGAAGATACAGTTGATAAACTAGAGAGATCTACCAGAGACCTGAAACATTCTCTCAACAAGTTTAACATGGAGATTAAGGTTTGTTGTAATGCCTGAATCTTATAACATCACAATGTTTAAAATCTCTTCCTCATAATCCATCTCCAGCTGAAATATTTAATGAAAAGATCCCTGAAAATCTGTAAAAAACATTTATTTTTATTTTTATATCAGGACCAGAAGTTGTGACATGAATTATAGTCTTCACTTTTTGTGGATGGTGGCAGATGGTGTCTGTAACAAATGGCAGGTAGTGACATTTTGTTTGTTAATGACTTCTATCTATTTATTGCAGTCTTTGATTGAGCAAGAAATCTCACTCGAGAACCAGAAGAAAGAATGTGAGGAACGTGTCAAGGCTGCTGCCCCGGATAAGAAGGAACTTGAGAAATTAAAAGAAACTGTTGCTGGATATAGGAAAGGTAATGGAAATTAAATCTTAAATATGCTTTTAGAACAGCGGCACTCAATCAGTGCATCCAATGCATCATATTAAATACAAATGAGATAAAATATATATTGCGTAAAAGCAGCTAACTATTATGCATACAATTTTTATTTTGTTTAAATTTTATCACATATAATTGTTAAAATTCCTTCTCTTAAAGAAATATCATTTTCATTTCCCAAATCAAGTTGTCTTATTATTTTTGATTATAATGGAATATGATTATTAATTACTTGTATTTATTTATTTTATTTATTTATGAATAACTGATTGTTAAATATTTCCAGATTATGAAAAGGTTCACTCTATTGCTGCAGAAATAGAAAGTCAAGTTCACAAGTAAGAATTTTATTTATTCCTCAGTTTTCCATTTCCACAATAAAAAAATAGATATATCATTAAAAGAATAAATATATTGTATCTTCTGTAAAAGTTATGTTTTCATAAAGTCTTGTTACAAAAAATCTTTGTAAAGTGTAATGAGATTTTTTAGATACCCTGTTTGATCATAAATATTATCAAATGCATGTGCTTAATATTTATTCGAACATGACTTTATTCACGCCTTCTATAAACTGTAAACAAAGTCAACATTTAACCCTGGGGTATATTTGCGAAGAATACCCCTGGTAATATGTGTAATGTGTGACGTCATAATGGCGGGTCATAGTAATGGCGGACCATAATGAATATTCGAAACATTTTGGTGAGTTTTCATGTTCGAATCGTAATATAGACCTCAGAGCAGAGGTAATATTGACGAATACACCACTTAGGGCTAGGCAGAAATGTTTTCTGTACCCTGAACGACCGATATATATACTTTATTCAATATTTAATAATATATGATTTTAGGTTCCACAAAGAGATCATGGATATAGGTGGCGCTAAACTAGCAGCTGTCCAGTCACGTGTCGACACAATTGGAAACCAGATTGACCAAGTTGTCGGACAAATTACAAAAGCCAATGTCGCGATCAAGACATCTGAAAGGTGAGATAAATGTGGATACAAAACGAATTAATTTTGGCATTATCAATGAGTTTGGGAATTCAGAACAAAAGAGAATGAAAGCAAACAAACTTTGTACTTTCAATTATTTGGCTCAATGTTAACATTTCTAGATAATACAATTTACCTTTACTTAGTTAATTATTGAATACAAAATGTTCCTTACCCGTCTGCAAGTACAGGTGCATTATGGGTAACAATTGACAATTCCAGGAATACCAAGAAGAGTGAGAAGAAAGTGGAAGATGTACAGCAAGAGATTACGGAGAATTTAGAGCACATCTCACAGCTTGAGGTTCAGTTTAAACAACTTGAAGTTGATGCAACTAAAGTCTTAGAGGCCTATCAGCAAGCCCAGGTTCGTTAACTTCAGTAAAATATTTACAATCTTGTTTCAGAATCATGAATTTGTAGAGTGGATACATATAGGTTGTTCACTGGGAGGGATTGAATATGGGTTTTATTCCGTGGAACAATATGATATTGACCGAAGGGTAATATGATATTGACCGAGGGAGCGCAGTGACCGAGTGTCAATATCATATTTCCCAAAGTCAATATCATATTTTCCGAGGAATAAAACCCATATTCAATCCCGACCAGAAATAACCTATTTATTCCATAATACATTCCTGTAAAATGTTACATTTGGATAATGCTTAGGTTAAAATAACCGGGAAACCAAAAATAGGTTAGTATACGTTCCAATACGCTTTTTTCCCGGGGACAATACGATTTTTTCATGTAATACGCTCCAATACGATTTTTTTCCCGGGGACAATACCATTTTTTCATGTAATACGATTCAATACGATTTTTATTCCTTCATATTTCCCTGGGAAAACAGTAGTATTATGGAATAAGCATCTTTATTTCTGTTTAAATTGCCTTTTATATGTACCCAGGGATACAATATGTAATTGAAATGTGATATATTGTTAAGTTTGTATCAGATTCTTGGAATTCAGTTACACAGTTTTTACCCATAATGCAACTTCATTTGCAGATGGGAATGAGAGAGATTGCAAATCTGTGATTGAAAAAGTATTTTGATTACTGTTTCTTTGTAATGTAAGCCCTGGTATATACTATATTCAATATTCAAAGGTTATATATGTAAAAGTCTACAGGATTCAATCAATACTATTTTTACCCATAATGCAATGTTTTTGCAGACGGAGATGAGAGAAGTTGAGGAAGTTGTCGGAGAAATAAACCAACAGATAGCCCAACTTGAAGAAGAGGAAAATAACCTGAAAAAAGATAATATTGAAATTAAACACGAATTAGAAAAATATGAAACCATCGTTAAAGATAATACCATGAAAGTAAAACATTGGAAAAAGGAGGTGAGGAAACATCTTGCAAAATGTTAAATTATGAATATTCAATGATGAAAATCAATATCAATTATACTTGCATCTTGGTCTAATGTAAATAAACGCCATGAATGATCAGATAGAATTGATAGACCACATTTTAGATGAAATGTCAAGAAAATGGATGAAAGAAATATCAAAGTAATGTAATATAAAGGGTGTCCAGAAAGTATGGAACCCCAGGCAGACATATACCAATGTTTCCATAGTATGTGTCATATATCATTTTAAAGCTTATCCAACGTTACATTGATTTGCCATTCTTCAATTTTCTTGTAGCGTGGAAAGTTAAGTTTACACCAAATAGACCAAATGGAAATGGAGGAACTTCCTACCCTCCCTATTGAAGAGCTCTCTGAGATCAACAAGGAGGATACTCAATACGAAATTACTGTCTTGGAGGAAAAATTAGCACAGATGAAGCCAAATATGGCCGCCATTGAAGAATACAGAAAAAAGGTCCGTTAATTAGGATTTCTATGAATATTGTTTTGTGGGCATTAAATATATTTCGAAAGTTTTATTGGTACATTTCTAATGTTCATGATTTAGAAGTTTCTAGACTCAAATAAATTGTCTGTGCTGAATTTTTTGGTTTCCAGACAATTTGGACCCAGGTCGGTCCGAGTTGTCCAGTGGCCAAATTCTTACAGATATCCAAATTATTTTACCAAAACTTTACCTACTACTTGAAAAGTCAGACATATAAAATAGGGTGAATGAAAATATTGAAATATAATTGAAAAATCTCATTTTTACAGGAGGAAATGTATTTAAAAAGAGTCTCAGAATTAGATAAAATCACTGAAATACGAGACAACCAACGAAAAAATCACGAGGATATGCGGAAAACACGATTGGATGAGTTTATGGCGGGTTTTAGTATCATCACGAATAAACTTAAAGAGATGTACCAGATGATAACATTGGGAGGAGATGCAGAGCTGGAACTAGTCGACTCACTGGATCCATTTTCTGAGGGCATTGTGTTTAGGTGAGTTCATTTTCTGAGGGCATTGTGGTCAGTAAGTTCATTTTCTGAGGGTATTGTGTTCAGGTGAGTTCATTTTCTGAGGGCATTGTGGTCAGTGCGTTCATTTTCTGAGGGCATTGTGGTCAGTGAGTTCATTTTCTGAGGGCATTGTGGTCAGTGAGTTTATTTTCTGAGGGCATTGTGGTCATGTGAGTTCATTTTCTGAGGGTATTGTGTTCAGGTGAGTTCATTTTCTGAGGGTATTGTGTTCAGGTGAGTTCATTTTCTGAGGGTATAGTGTTCAGGTGAGTTCATTTTCTGAAGGTATTGTGTTCAGGTGAGTTCATTTTCTGAGGGTATTGTGTTCAGGTGCGTTCATTTTCTGAGGGTATTGTGTTCAGGTGAGTTCATTTTCTGAGGGTATTGTGTTCAGGTGAGTTCATTTCCTGAGGGTATTGTGTTCAGGTGAGTTCATTTACTGAGGGTATTGTGTTCAGGTGAGTTCATTTTATGAGGGTATTGTGTTCAGGTGAGTTCATTTTCTGAGGGTATTGTATTCAGGTGAGTTCATTTTCTGAGGGTATTGTGTTCAGGTGAGTTCATTTTCTGAGGGCATTGTGTTCAGGTGAGTTCATTTTCTGAGCGTAAAGTGTTCATTATCTGTGGGAATTCTATTTGGGGAGTTTATTTTCTGAGGGCATTGTGGTCATGTGAGTTCATTTTCTGAGGGCATTGTGTTCAGATTAGTACATTTCTAAGGGCATTGTGTTCAAATGAGTACTTTTCTGAGGTCAGTTGAATTCATTTTTGAGAGCTTTTTGTTAAGATGAACTCATTTTATCTGAGGGCTTTGTGTTCAGTTGAGCACATTTCTATGGGCATTGTATTTAGGTGAATTCATATTTATGCTTTATATTTATTTTGTTGAGATATTGGCGACTGGTGCTGTAAACCCTTGTTTTCGCTTTTGTGTCATAGTTTCCCAATATTTCATCCTTTTGTTTGTATATATATTTTCAGTAAGTTAGCATGTATGAAATTATTCAGGATGCTTCACTTATATATATTATGTTACCAACACAAGAGGTGTCATATAATGTTATAGTCTCCAACTGTTTTGTGGATGGTAGTTGGTGTTCAGCATTGGGCAGTCGGCGTCTATATGGCAGATGGTGACGTATTGCATGTTTATGCCTTGTTTATAATTTTTGGATGATTTATGATTACAGTGTACGACCACCCAAGAAATCCTGGAAGAATATCTCAAATCTTTCTGGAGGAGAAAAAACACTGAGTTCCCTTGCGTTGGTGTTTGCGTTGCATCATTATAAACCTACTCCGCTGTACGTCATGGATGAGATCGATGCTGCCCTCGATTTCAAGAACGTCTCAATTGTTGCGAATTATATCAAGGTAATTATTATTCAAAAACTGTGGTGCTAGTCTCTGACTTGACAATATTCTGTTTTAGGAATCATGTAAGTGCCATGCTAACCCAAAATTGATAACGGTAAAGTTACAAATTTGTAAATCAATTGTTGTAACCATGGATATAATGATGTCACAGTAAGAGAACAATGGATTTTACGAATTCTTAACTTTAAGAAGGGTCTGTTAATGGGCCCCAGATAACTTGTGAATGTTGTGTTAAAATCCATCCATGGAAAAATGTAAGGAACTCTTGAAATGACGGACCACTAAACTTATTGAATGGTTTTGCTCTATGATTTTCCTTATGAAATAAATGAATATCCAGCAAAAGTTTAGCCGACATGTGAATAATATCCTCTAAACTGTATCTAATGTATCAGATGGAAAAATTGCAATAGACAAATAAATATTGTGAAAACAAAGAATTATCCTCCAAAAACTCTTGATAATTGCTGTATTTTTCTTTTCTTGTCTTGTAAATTCTCTTCACTTCATGTTTATTCTTTGTGTTCCAGGAGAGGACGAAGAATGCACAATTCATCATAATCTCACTGAGGAACAATATGTTCGAGTTGGCAGACAGACTTATTGGAATCTATAAAACAGATAACGCTACAAAGTCTGTTACAATCAACCCAAAGAAAATGAGTATACCACTCCAGGATTCCACGAATGCCCAGTCAGCCCCTGGGCCTGTTACTGCATAGGAATGGAACACTCCCTCAGAGGATTTTATTACTGATTAAAAAAAGCTAGTATACCACTCCAGGATTCAACACCAGCCTTCACCCCTGTCACTGGAATTTGATAAATAAAATTGGCGTTAAACTACTGTTTTAAAGAAAATGATACAACTTTAGGAGTCTAGCAAGACCAGGGACTATAAAACAATACTTTGGATATGATCCTGCTCAAGATTCAGAATGTGATTAAGAGTGAACTTTATTGAGCTATACAGTGTACATGAGTAAAATGCTACAAATAATAGCAAGTAACTACTAGCTAGCGCTAACTGTATAGGAATGTAGAACCAGCACCCCATATGGAGCAGAAGAAAGACAACAGGGAGGGAACGTCACACATTTATAAAAAGACATGGACTAAAGAATAAAATAGTAAAAACACATTACATTATGCCATTCACTCATTACAATACGGTAGGGGTGAGACGACAACCCGATGAGTCGAGGACTCGCGGGTTTGGGGCTTCGAGTCGAGTCGAATCGAGTCGAAGTTGATGAATCGAATCATTTTCGAGTTGAGAAAAAAATTCGAAAAAATAAAAAAATTCAGAAAAATACTGTCAATATGCATGTTTTTACTCGATATTGCGTTGAATATATAAGTTTCAATGACTTGGATATGCTTGTATTAAATTATTATATTGTATGTACACATAAATGAAAGAATATATGTAATAAAATCAGAATAAACTTACGACGAATTGTGTTTGTTTATATTTCCGGCTTTCCACCATTGACGCATTAAAAATACGAACGGTCAAAAGCGATGGTGTTCGCACTTTATCTGACTCGAAACGGATTCGAAACTCGAATCGTCATTTTCTGACTCGAATCGGATTCGACTCGAATCGGATTTTTTCGACTCGTCTCACCCCTACAATACGGACACTTCACTCATTACAATACGGACACTTCACTCATTACAATACAGACACTTCACTCATTACAATACAGACACTTCACTCATTACAATACAGACTCTTCACTCATTACAATACAGACTCTTCACTCATTACAGACAATTCATTCTATAGCATTCAAATATTTTTCATGGTTTTCAAAAATATTCTCTCAGGTTGTGGTAAGGCCATTTCTTGAACACAATTTCTTGATTTTAATGAGATCTCATGATGTATGAGATAGAATTGTAAATATTTTTGTGAAATACATGTAGTTCCCTCTAACAGATTCATTATTGAAAATGATAAATTATAAATACTGAATTAGAATGAAGAAATAGATTCAAGTTTTGATATATTTTATTTCTCAAAATATTAGTGTTAACACATGGATAATACCAACTCCAAGGAGGTCAGTTCCCATGATTCCTCAGATGCATATTAAAAGAATATCAAAGTATTATGGGATCTACCTATCTTCCATCATCAGATATGTCAGGTAATCCATTGTAATTAATTCATGATAACATATGGATTTATTCACCATTAGAAAACATAATATGTATGGATTTACATGTTAAATTAATGATACATGTAATTACTTTTTAATCATGTAGAAACAACAAATGTGTATATAAAATATAGATATATAAACAAAAACGTAATAAACTTGTCTTTTCGTTTAATACTTGAATTTTCCCACTTTCAAATTCTAGTATACATTTGGCAAATTTTCCAATTTTCGATATTTTGATGATTATTTAATACGGCAATAATTGATCTGGCTGATTTTGGCTTTCATTTTGTGCAATGAGTTTTAGGCACCGTTTTTTTTTTCAGACAATTTCTGTAATATGATTTCCTCAAATTATTTCACAGAAGAACAAGCTAAATCATTTGCAAAGTTCTAGAGGATTGATCTTAAATTTCACTGAAGATGAACAAAATCAACAAAATTGTCACAATAAATCAGGCACCAAAATAATCAGGGTAACAGTCATATATCTAGTTGTATGCAGAGCTGACAAAAAATGGTGCAATAGATGTTTCCGATAAATTGTGCCATCTTTTGAACCGGAGAAACTACAATATATTTGCTAGATATCATAGGCAAAATCAGCAACATGTTAAGAGACAGATTGCTGCCGAAACAGATTGCTGCCGAGACAGATTGCTGCCATCAAGCCAGCCAAGTATTATAGTTTCCCCGATGAATCAAAAGATGGCATTGATTTTTCGGAAATGACTTAACAAATCAAAATTTTTATGATATGGAGATTAAACCATGATAAAATCAAATTTTTACAAATGCCAACAATTGAACATCATCACACAATACTTTCATAATTTTATGATCCCTGTTACAAAAGCATGATGGCTTATATTATGAAAACAAATTTCAATTATATGTGTCTACAGTTGAAGAAATCTCCGAATGCAGGACTCCAGATGCCATCCTCTCTTCAAGATTAGAACAGAGTGGATAATTTTCATGGCTACACATCTCCATATGCATTTTACATAATTGCAACGTAGCAATCGCAGTAATAATATTTCTTAACATCAGATGAACAGTTTATTTTTCTTTCGATGATTAACAGAAAGCATTTTAATTTACATACTGGAGTCCCACATGCATGCATTCTGGGGATTCATTTGAAGTTCAATAAAGCGTTATTCAGGCTTCCATCTTCACTTTCAGTTTATCATCAAACAACTAGAGTTTCTCTTGATGTCTAATATACTTCACTGTATATTTCAGCATAACAAAAGTTTTGTATTTACACTTCAAGCTAAAGTTCATGACTCGTTATTGTCATCGAATTTGCAAAGCTTTCATTTCTTCTAATAAAGCACTTTCAGTCTTTAGTTTGTCTAGTTGGTTTTTCTCCAGCGTTTTCCCTTCTTTCTGTTGCTGCTTCAACTTTTCTATAGCTTGCAGTTTCTGAAAATATACAAATACATTTATTAGAAAAGTTGATTTCATTTCTGGCATAAAATGGGCCTAATATTTCAGACATTAAATGGGCCTGATATTTCAAAATTGCACCTTTTGCTGGACTCACATTGTAAAAAAGCCAAGATCTTTAAATGATCCAAATATCGAGACTGCGACCAACTGTATAAATTGACAGTATGGGCCCCTTCAAATGGATATGAGCATGAACACTTGTAAGTTGATATTAACAGAATATATTCCAAAAATAAATGGCAAATTGATTACAAGGCTCACTTCAAGCTTGCCTTACCTTTCTGAGATTTCGTACTTTCTTGTCAGTCTCGGGATCACCACTAGATGGCGCTGCTTGAGGTACTGGTGTCGGGGCGGGACTAAACTCCTCTGGATGCTGAAATGGTAAACAAGGCATTTTTGAAACACTACATGAAGGATTTGGTAAACATATCTGAAAAAATGGCTAATACTGAATGTCAAATTGTTTAAATGACCTCTGACCAAAACAATAAAAATTCCAATAAATAATAAATAAAAAATGGTTTTGGATGGTTGTGAAGCTATATTCACATATTTAACCAATATGAACATCTTTTTAAGGTTTTTCAAGACAACTCTTACCTCTTCTTTAGCTCTTGCTTTCGCTTCACGCTTTTTCTTATTCTTCAGCGCAGCTTTTGACAATTCTAAAAAAACACGAATCTTGTAAACCTGTTGTTTGGATACATATGCTTACTACTTTTCTATTTTAATCACCTTTCCAATGGTAACATACCTCAAGTTGGTGCAATACAAATATAAAGAGCAGAATTCAATCTTTCAATCTGGCACACACATGTTTATCATTCAGGCCAATGTTTTGATATTTACAGAAAAGAAAGTTTCCTTAAAACTTTACCTAACAACTATCAAGTTATTTGTTTACAGTAAATTATCAGCCAGTGATATTTCTGATATTCTATAGATCCATGTAATATATTTCAATTTTTCTAAAATAAGCCAATGAATGTTTTTTTGCTATCATGATGGCAAGATTTCTTTTGCCAGTTGTCGCACCTACTAGGACTTTTTTTATTCCTTTTTTTATTCATAGAAAAAACATTAGAAAGCAGTTACATTAACATATACGATATACATGTACATGTACATAATATCATAGGAGTCACACAATTTTTCATCATATTCTATTTTTTTTTTCAAAATTTACCTGCACTTGCTGGCTTGGCATTGGAAGGGGGTTCAATATCATGTAGTTTGAATGTTGATGGCACTCCCTTTGCCCCTGGAGGTCTGTAGACTCCAGCTTTCACTGGAAAAAAAAGAAAATACATTTGGTACACCCTCATTCCACATGATGAGAATTCTTAGAACTTTAATAAATCATTATTGGAATGGGTAATATTTTTCACATTTTTATGTGAATATTGAGAATTTACTCAGGCTCCAATGGTTTAAATGCAATAAAATAAGGTTAAGAAAACAAAAACATTTTCTTTAAAATATTCAAAATGTAAATAATTACTGTAAACAAATATTTAAAATTATATCTGAAAAAAGAAATTAACTTGTACCTTTATTTATGACTTGATATGAAAATTTTAAAAAGCTGTTTGAAAAAAACATTTTGAAATGAAAATACAAAACACATCTTTGACTTGGTTCTTCTTTCTTACCATTTGAAGGAGGTGGCGCCACTGTAGATTGCACTGGTTTATAAGACAACGGTTTTGGCGGGAAGGTTCCCTCTGGGACTGGCTGCCATCGTACATCCCACAATTCAAGGCCTGCAGGTGTATTTGTTTCATGCAGGAGAACACCCGTGTAGTGCCACGTCTTGTAGCTAATTATGAAAAAAAAAAATTTTTAAATTGGATGATGTTTTGGTTTCATGCAGAAGAACACCCGTGTAGTGCCACGTCTTGTAGCTAATTTTGAAAAAAAACATTTTTAAAAATTGGATGATGTTTTGGTTTCATGCAGGAGAACACCAGTGTAGTGCCAAGTCTTGTAGCTAATTTTGAAAAAAAACATTTTTAAAAATTGGATGATGTTTTGGTTTTATGCAGGAGAACACCAGTGTAGTGCCACGTCTTGTAGCTAATTATGAAAAAGAAACATTTTTAATAATTCAGAGTTTTGCCCCTGATGGTGTTTTGGTTTCATGCAGAAGAACTCCTGTGTAGTGCCACGTCTTGTAGCTAATTATGAAAAAGGAACATTTTTAATAATTCAGAATTTTGCCCCTGATGGTGTTCTGGTTTCATGCAGAAAAACACTTGTGAAAGTGGCAAGTCTTGTAGCTGATAATGAAAAGGAAACATTTTTAAAAATTCAGATTTTTGCCCCTGATGGTGTTTTGGTTTCATGCAGAAAAATGCTTGTGAAAGTGCCAAGTCTTGTAGCTGCTTATTATGAAAAAGAAACATTTTTAAAAATTCAGATTTTTGCCCCTGATGGTGTTTTGGTTTCATGCAGAAAAACACCTGAGAGAGTGTCAAGTCTTGTAGCTAATAATGAAAAAGAAACATTTTTAAAAATTCAGATTTTTGCCCTCGATGGTGTTTTGGTTTCATGCAGGAGAACACCTGTGTAGTGCCAAGTCTTGTAGCTGCTAATTATGAAAAAGAAACATTTTTAAAGATTATTTTATAATTATGTCCCATGTAGGGGTTTCCATAGAATATTGGCAAATGGACATATATTGGCAAAATCTGTCATTTTGAGGGGAACATCGGCCTCTTTGAAATTGTACAACATTTTAAACATTCAGATTTTTGTATTATATATGACACCTTATTGGTTAGCCAATGAGTCTCTCATTAAATGTAAGCTCTGATCTAACTCTACCACTAGAAATTCCAACCTCTACTACTGTATTATGTATCATTCAAATGTAAATTTCAATGAGTGACATACTGAGGTTAAAAATTTGAAACGGCCAAAGAATTCAATTCACTTTCTAAAAGGTACATCAGGAGAGAATGGGACAAACAAAAGGTTTTGAACTATCAAAAAACGATAGAAACCAAATTTTTGCACATTTAGTTTAAAAATCCTTACCCATTGCCAACTCGTAGTCTAGGAGATGTAGTTGCCGTGGTAATGTGTTCCCCATCTGGACACCAGTAAAGTTGCGTCGTATCTGCAGCAGTTGGATTGCTAATTAATTTCTTCTGTTTTACATCCCAGAATTCCATAAGGCCTCGTAAGTTGCCGAAACCAGCCAAGCACAGAAGTGGGTTAGTCAAGGAAATTAAAAAAACAAACAACAATTATTTCCGTGGCAACTTGCTTGTAATATTTTGTTCCCTAGATAAGGTTCTCTTTCATACCGCAAAGCACAAGAAATCTTTTCCTAGAATATTTCATCAAAACGTCTCTAATTAACTTAAACAATGTTAACTTAAGTATTCAATTTACACAAATCATGTTTTAAAATGTGTGATTTAGTTCAAGAAATAAAAATATTTTAAAGGATATTTGTTCCCTGTGGGTTGTAGTAACAAGCATTCCTTGGTCCTGTCCCAAAGTCAAAGATTGGCTCACACTTTAAGTTAAACAATGTTGCCTTGGCTGGCATAAATCCGTACAGTACACAGAACTGCGTCGGGTCCTTTGGGTTCCATTCTATGTGATATATGGGTCCATTTTTAGCTGAAAAAACAAAAGGGTAAGAACCCATTCACTACACAGAATTGCATTGGGTCCTTTGGGTCATATTGTATGTGATATATAATAGGCCCATTTTAGTTGGAATAACAAAAGGGTATAAACCTGTACACTACACAGTATTGAATCAGGTCCTTTGGGTTTCATTCTATGTGATATATAAGCCAATTTTTAGCTAAAACAAAAAAAGGATTTGAACTGATTTGGTCGGAATGTCTCAAGATTAAAACTGATTTAATGATCTGTCATGGTTGATTCAACTGATTTATCTGCGATGAGATCAAGCTGTTCTATTTCAGCAACGGGTGTTTGAATTTTATTAAAAACAGCGAGATAAGCATCATAATGTTTATTTTGTCAAAGGGAAAGTAAAGGATATTAACCATTAAACAAACACAATTTAACGATAATATTTTTATTAATTTTATGTTTACAAGTTTTACAAAAATGTTTTCCAAAATATTTCTACTCACCAAAGGACACCATGCAGCTTTCTCCATTGCTGCCAACAAAATGAAGTTTCTGGTCACCATAGTATGAAGTATCAGCAGTTTCATTGGTAGTTAGTACTAGAACACCCGTCGCTGAAATAGAACACAAACACTAAATTTGTTGCTGGATAAGAACACACATATTAAATCTTTTGTAAAAGGAGAACATATTTATTGAATTGATTTATCACAAATCTAAAGTTTCATAGTTAGCCTACTATTAGCACCCAAACATTGAATTCAAACCAGACACAAAGTGATAAATAATTTATATCATACTTTTTTTATTGAAATACATGTATTCAAAATGGCCACCAAGTAATTTACCCACCATGCCCAAAACCTAACAAGATCTTGGCATTAGTCTGCACTTGCATCTTTAAAATTTTAAAAATACACACAAAGACGTACATCCATAAGCCCAAGAGGACTACAATACATGTTTGAAATGTAAAACCACTCACCATTACTGTTCCAAATGGCCACCTTAACATTTTCCCAGAATGCCCAAAAATGTTTGAAGTGTAAAACCACTCACCATTACTGTTCCAAATGGCCACCTTAACATTTTCCCAGAATGCCCAAAAATGTTTGAAGTGTAAAACCACTCACCATGACTGTTCCAAATGGCCACCTTAACATTTTCCCAGAATGCCCAAATATGTTTGAAATGTAAAACCACTCACCATTTCTGTTCCAAATGGCCACCTTAACATTTACCCAGAATGCCCAAAAATGTTTGAAGTGTAAAACCACTCACCATTACTGTTCCAAATGGCCACCTTAACATTTTCCAAGAATGCCCAAAAATGTTTGAAATGTAAAACCACTCACCATGACTGTTCCAAATGGCCACCTTAACATTTTCCTAGAATGCCCAAAAATGTTTGAAATGTAAAACCACTCACCATTACTGTTCCACAGCATCTGTACCTTATCAGCTTGGAAGAAACTTTTATTAGCCAGGGCTGAGTTTAGTCCACCAAGGGCAGGATATTTGTAGATTCTCACAAATGATGGCTGACCCTACAAAAATCCGGGTCCATGTAAACAAAAATACTTTTTGGAAAATCTAAATGTGGGTATGAATAAAAAATAAATAGATAATTATATATAACCTGCTTTATTTTCTTGTATTTCTATACAATTCAAAGTGTCAGATAAATGCCTGTTTACTTTATTCCTTGCTCAATTTGTATTCCGTCTGCCTATATTTTGCCAAGGTCATGCTTATTCCACTCAATTTCTCTATAAAATTTGAATGAAGTGTCTGATTTTCTTGCATTTCTATACAATTTAGAATGTTGGCTACATGCCTGTTTACTTTATTCCTTGCTTATTCCACTCTTTTCCACTCTATTTTGAATCAAAAAACATAACCATATTTACCTTAGAACCTAGGACGTATACTGCGATATGGTAAGGTGGAGGACCCCTGCTCAATGCAAACTCTTGCACCTTTTGTAAGTGAAGTTTATTGGCAATTGTGGCTGCAAATATAAAACAGATTCAACATTTAATGCAGGGGTCTGTCAGGGATCAATAACCATTTAATCAATCCAATTGAATAATGTCTTATTACAATCAGACATTGAATAAAAATTGTTCAGATAAAAGCAAAATAAAAGAGTTTAGAATTTGTGCCTCTTGAACACATACTTACAGAAATTATTCTTCTCGTAAAACTGCAATTCATTATTCACGAGGCGTGAACAGATCTCTTCATCTGCACTCCACTGGGGACACCTGGTGAGTAAAAACAGTCATATATAAAACTAGGGGCACCTTGTGAGCAAAAAAGCACATATTATATTAACCTTTTCTTTTGCTTCTTTTATACTAAAGCTAAAAATGTATCCAAGGATAATGAGATGATTTCACCAAGGGCCAGTTCACCAGGGGGCCAGTTCACCAGGGGCCAGTTCACCAGGGAGTTCATTAGGAGGTATTACATCATGAGTTGTTTATTTTCCTTACCATCCTTGCTGCTTCTTCTGGATAAAACTCTTCACTAAAGTTCCTGATTTGAGATCATACAAACTCAAATTGGGCTCTCCTTCACCTAAAAGCAGAGGAGGATAGATAAACATGAGGAAATATCCCAGAATTCATAGATGAACATGAGGAAATATCCCAGAATTCATAGATGAACATGAGGAAATATCAAAGAATTCATAGATGAACATGAGGAAATATCCCAGAATTAAGAGATTAACATGAGGAAATATCCCAGTATTCAGAGATTAACATGAGGAAATATCCCAGAATTCATAGATGAACATGAGGAAATATCCAAGAATTCAGAGATTAACATGAGGAAATATCCCAGAATTCATAGATGAACATGAGGAAATATCCCAGAATTCATAGATGAACATGAGGAAATATCAAAGAATTCATAGATGAACATGAGGAAATATCCCAGAATTCATAGATGAACATGAGGAAATATCAAAGAATTCATAGATGAACATGAGGAAATATTCCAGAATTCATAGATGAACATGAGGAAATATCCCAGAATTCATAGATGAGGAAATATCCCAGAATTCATAGATGAGGAAATATCCCAGAATTCATAGATAAACATGAGGAAATATACCAGAATTCATAGATGAACACATCTTCATATAAAGATGAACCTCTAGAGATCATCCCTTCTTAGCACGCAAAACTTTATATGGATATAACCTTGATGTATTTCGCATCGCAAGCAGACTTACCTTTATAGCTTTCCCATAATGCAATGAGGTTTTTATGCGGGGAAATTTCTACACCTGTCGTCCGTGGTTTCTCAATATCCTGTACTAACTGTACTCCTGGCAATGAGATGACCTGTACACTGAAAAATAGTGTTACAATTGTTATACACTGATACACGGTGAGTCGGTGACCCATAGGAATTGTAACACATGGATTTGGATATAACATGTAGGCTACATGTACAATAAAAATTAATATCATGATTGTCACACAGGCTAACCAAATGTAACTCTCCATTTTTGGAAAAAGTTTTAAGGGTAACCAAAAAAGATAATCTTGTAATAATGGAATAACCTGTTCACTGAAAATAACATCATAACTTTTCAAAATTGAGTAAACCAAAATTAGAAATTCCTATCTTGTGCCTGATTACTGAGAATCTAGGTCATGTAGTGATGCTATTAATTGAAAGTTGTTTGAAAATCTGAAAATTATAATCTAATCCTGAAAATGTATTCTAAATATTTCAGCCTTTTCTAGAGATTTTTAACAGGGTGACATTGGACTTGGAAATTTCAAGTTTCAAATTTCAAACTTCAAATTGCCCTAAATGCAATCCTCATAACATTTAAAGATTCTCGCAATCTTTATCCAATCAGCGTTTGCGATGTGTATCGGCTCACGTATAAAAGGCGAATCCAACTCAAATCCATGCAGGGGTGTATGAGGTACTCGAATAGGAAAGAGCTCGTGAAATCTGAATTTATAATTTATATGCACATGGTCAATGTTTACATATGTTTGGAGATATTGAAGAAAATGTGATATGGGTGTGGTTCCGAATTTGAAGTCATTGCTGGAAAATATGATTTTAATACGTGAAATTATATCTATAAATACAGCACTAAAAATAACAGTACACATGAAGTACATGTATGATTGTGTCCAGAAATGTTTGAAACCCTAACGGAAAATTCTGTCTGCATTTTGTCACCATTGCTCTTTCTTCCCGCATTCTAGTGCTGTTTGAATGAATATATAAATTAATGTATTTCTAACTAAAATATATCACATTTTTTTATAAACCACAAACATTTAGATCATAAAAAAAATTATTCAATACTTGAGTGAGCACGATATGCAAGGGTTACTAAGTTGACACAGTAAATGACCACTGATATTGTATACTCCATGCACACAGCGTATTCTGCTATTTGCTAACACCCCCCACTTTCATAGTGAAGTGGCTAATTGGTTTATGTTTACGTTTTAATGTGTTTTGGGTTCCTTGTTACAGCAAGGGGGGCCTGTAAAGTAGACTAACATGTTTGCATGGCAAGTTTTGATCGAATATGTGAGACACTTTAAAGGAAATTGACATACCTTCTACCATTGGTCCATGCAAACAGCGTCCCATCTCTGCTGAATGTGAAAGCCTTACACACCTTTGTCTGGTCTCTGCAATAAGAACAGGGGAAACATTGAATTGTTTTCTTAACTATATGAAATAAATACAGAAAACTTTAAAATTGCAAGTTGCACAGTGAGCAGTAATCATCCCAATATACAATATGAGAGAATTCCTACTTTTCCATGCAAACCTGTTCAGTGAAACACCTCTTTTAGTGGAACACTTTTCAGAGTTTGAAGACCAACTGACTTAATGTTAAATAAACCTCTATTAGACAGGTCTTATGTCAAACATCATCATGTCAATACCACATTTATAATACAGTATACAGTAAAACCTTTGAAAGTAAAACACTCTTGCTTATGCTATAAAATATGTTATGGTTAGGTATTATAGAGTGAATATGAAATGCCCTTACCCAACGAAATCCTCTTTGTTTTCATATGAGGGTGGGCCATCTTTGAGGTACACCCCTTCAGAACCACGCACTGAAAATACACACGGTGAATGCTACAATTACCCTCAATCAACAACACCTAGCTATACCCTCCTCTGACAATTGAAGATATGGAAGGGGAATTTTACTTTCATAATCTGTGTACAGTCAAAACAGAAATGTTTGTGACTACTTTGAATTTAAAAAATAAGCAATCTAATGACCATATTGAAACAGTTTATGTAAAAATAGAAACATTTATATTTATCCTAACTTTTGTATATTTCAGATAGTAATGTATAATATGCAGCAAAGCTGTGGCCTTTTGTAATTTAGGGAGTTTCAGCCATGTTAATTTTTTCCGAAAATAACATGGAAGAGAAGTACCAAAATATAAGAGGACACAGATATGATAGCTAAACTACAAAACAAACTAAAATATACAAAAGTTAGGATAAATATAAATGTTTCTATTTTTACATAAACTGTTTCAATATGGTCATTTGATTGGTTATTTTTTAAATTCAAAGTAGTCACAAACATTTCTGTTTTTTATAATCAGCTTATAATCAAAGTTCCCACTATTCGGGGACAGTAAAGAGGACAGGAAAGCAATGTTGCCCATGTAGGTAATTGTCGGACAAAGGAAGGCCTGCACCGAGTGTCCGACAATTATGTGTACCTACATATCATACCATATCAACATTTAGCGTGTAGCGCAAGTGCTATTGACAGACATGGACAGTATTGCTTCCCCGTTCTCTATTAGCTATTTGTCACCACCTGACAAGTCTGATATGTTAGAAATACTCAGATAGCTCTAACAAGAATTTTCATGATAATTTTCAGAATTGACAAGTGTTTGAAGTGCCCCCCCTCCCATTAGGCTATCAGTATGATATATATATATAACTTTTATTGACATATAGTATCATAACATGATTACATTAGTCAGAACTATGGTAGACTACATATCTAAACTACAAAACACCAACTAAACTAAAAAATACAAAAAATATATAAAAATATATATGGTAACAATAATAGTGTGGTGCACACACAATGCATTATGACCATGCTAAATTCTTAAATGAATGGTAAATGAATTTGCCAATATGTCTTTGCAAGGTTACATTTTTATTAGAAATAAGATTGACAAATAAATTTTCACTTTGTAAATCCAAGTTAGGTAAAATTTCACGGGCTTTTGTATATAATATTTGCCTATTCTCATCATTTTTTGTACAAGCTAAAAAGAAATGACATTCATCCTCTACATCTTTACAAATATTACATAATCTTTCCTCTAAAGGTTTTGGTTTTGGCTTTGTATGTCTTCCAGTCTCAATTGCTAACTGATGAGAACTCATTCTAAATCTACTTGTAGCCAATCTATACTTTTTATTGTCTAATTTCAAGTACAATTCTTTACCAAAATCATTTTTAAATAATTTGTACGTTCTCAATATAGGATAAGTGTTCAAATCATTTTTCCATTTTTCTACAAATAATATGATGATGAACATCAATTTTTGATCCCACTCCATATTCACAGTAACGGCAAACTCAATGATAGGTAAGATATTTTTGAACTTAAAATTCTAAATAATTATGTTTATAGAGTAATCTACACACAATAATGGTTATCTATCATGTATATCTATTGGAAAAATCACTAAAATGTAATCAATTTTTACCCGCAAGAAAACTCATGGGCGCAGACATCTTGATTCTCGCCGAAATTCACGAGAAGTCTCGCCCACGTCAGCACAAAATAGTTCGTATAATTATTGCGCGTTGCATTTTGCGAAGAATTTGGAACATTAATTGGACCGATTTGGCCGATTCATCACTAATCTAGGCTAAAAGATTTCTTTTTTGTAAAAAATTTACCACAAATAACATTGATATATTCCGGATTTTAACGGACTATATATTTGCGTAGATAGAAAATTTAGATGCTCTTCGGTCTTTTTGAAAAATAAAGTTGGAAGAAGATACGCAAATTCACAACTTGCCATATTTTTGGAAATAACTTTACAGATACGGGTTAGATAACCAACTAAACATTACAAAATGGCAACTAAACAACGGATGAAGGTAGCAAGTGAAAAACACAGCAAAAACATTACAAGCAGAGGCAGTGTGCCAAAATCATTGGTGAGAAAAATTTGAAATTTTTTAGTTTTTTCAACCTGATCAGCTTGGATCTAATTTTCCCCCAAATTACTTGTATTCAACATATGTGTATTTTTTCGTTTATATATTCCATATTATCCATTTTTATTGAGCTGTGTAACAAGGGTAATCTAAAGGTACAGTATCATATGGGGAAATACATTCATATTTTTACATGCAAAAGGCACACCCTCCAGTCAGAATTTCTTCAAAGGTGCTTCCTATATTTTAAGATCAGAAACAAAAAATAACTAAAGGAACTAATACCTTTTTTATTTCCTGATTCTCATCTTGTTTGATGGCTGTAAACTGAATTGAAGTATTCACAAAGATATTAGAGTATCCGTCTTACCTTCTTCTAAGGCCACTATATCTTACTCGAGTCTCTAGCCAATACTTGGCTAGAGGAGATTCATCTGGAATACTGTGAACTCTATTTGAAAAAAGCAGGCCGGGGTGTCATAAATTTATTGAATATTTTAAAAATCGCCAGATAAATAAATCATTAATCAAACCGGACCCAGCTCGGCTCCTTGATGAGATATGACATGATTTCATCAGGATTTCGTCTAAAATTAAAACAAAATGGCTCCAAGAAAAATGGCGATGTTCGAAAACTGGACGAAATGTCGTTAACGTCTGACATTAGTAACTGGCTGTAAATTCTAAGTTAGCGATCCAGAAGATGTGAACTAATACACTGATCACTTTGTGTGTGTTTTGGAATTTTTGGTGAGGTAATAAGACCAAAACTCGCAATTCAAATTGTGATGTGGAAAAATGGCGGACATATGATTTCAAATTTTATGATTACGACATGACCAGTTGTTCATGCAGGAATATATCTGTACTGGAAGGCCACGATACAGTGGCCTGAGAAGAAGGTAAACTATATCATGGATTTCGTCCAAAGATAAATCCCTGTATGTTTTTCTGCTGTAAATGTCGTAATCAAATGGTCACCATTTTTCCACATCACAATTTGAATTGCGAGTTTTGGTCTTATTAGTTCACATCTTCTGGATCTCAGACATTAACAACACTTCGTCCAGTTTACGAATCGCCATTTTTCTTGGAGCCGTTTATTTTCATTTTAGATGAAATCCTGATGAAATCATGCAAAATCTCATAAAGGAGCCCAGCCAGTTCCATTTTAATTCATGATTTATTTATGTGGTGATTTTTAAAATATTTAATAAATTTATTTCAAGACGGATAACTTTTTTCAAATGGTTCACGGTGTTCCAGATGAAATTACTTCTAGCCAAGAATTGGCTAGAGGCTCGAATAATAACTATCCATTATTCTAGATAATAAACTGATTGTATGTCCTTGATTCCCTGAACTAAACTCAAAAATACAAAAATTTCTCAGAAATAAGCTTACTGAAAAGGCAAATATAGGACAATTGTTATCCCTAGTCACATTATATAGTTTTAATAAAAGTAAAGCCCTTTGGATCAACCTCAGGTGATACTTAAAATACATGAAGTACAGCTGACAAAGCCTGAAGAACCAAGCACCTCCCAACAATTAAACCTTTGATATATTAATTTTTCAGAAACCAGAGGAAGACAAATACCCAGTTGGACCATGGCTCATAGGACTCTTCATCTTTGTAGTGTGCGGATCAGGTATATTGTCAACCATATGGTTTTTAGGGGTTTACAGACAATTATCAGTCTGTCAATAAGTACTGCATACTTATACATTGGCCTATCTAAAATCATCTGCTTTGAGACAAATGTTTATCAAAAATCATTACTATGCTATACTCATAAATTGGCCGTTCCAATTATTGTCTGCTCTAAAACTCATGTTTATCAAAAATAGCAAACTCCATGTTCACATCTAGTAAGTGTTCCAGGCTGCTTTAAGATCTTCAACCAATTTATTAATACAGTAAATCTGTTCAGTGCAAACACTTAAACCTAGTGTGGGCCTTACTTCTTATCTGACATATCTTGTTGCCCGCCCTAGGTTTAACATCCGTGCCTATTCGGCCCTTAATGCAAAAAAATTAATGGTGGCCTATGGCAGTGCATGAAATTCCATGCGCGTTTACTTAATAACTGATTGTGAGAATTTGCTACCAATGAAAGCATAGCACGCACGTTAAACCCAATCAGCGCAACAAGAACATTCAGATTAATAAATGAAAGCCGTGGTATTGGGTTTGACTTGTTGAACTACATTGTGACAAGCCAAGAGTGTCATTAGGGTTGGTAGGTGTTCAGAATTCGAGGTTCTTTAACATACATGGTAATCTGTATGCTATGCAGAATGGAATATTAAAGCAGTAATATGCTTCATGAAGAGTCAAAATTAGATTTCCCAATTTTTAACCATTCACATAGAACTATAATGGAGAAATGTTATATTTAAAATCATTCAACATGAACAGTCTTTTCCATTTTTTGATGATCAAAAAAAGAAAAATATCAATGACTGTAATGGCTATTTAATATTTGGCTTTTGCAATCAAAACAGACCCAATCAACCCAATTAATTTTTTTAATCATATCTATTATTAAATTGATCAACAGATGTAATAAATGTAAGACAGACATTATTATGGTAATTAATCATGACAGTCAAATTAAAAAACAATAGATGACTTTTGATTAAAAAATTGGTGGTTAATTTAGTTTTAAAAATAGAAAAAGGTGGGTAACCTGTACTTGGGGGGGGGCTATTCCCACACTCCTCTAGCTCTAGGGTTGACTATTTTCGACACTTGTTGCCTAACTCCACTGTTCTCCAAAAGAGGGTGCTGCGAAGATAGAAATTAAAACCTATTGGGTTCGATTTAAAGCAGATATGAAATGGTATTTTTAACCTAAAGGAATCGATATAATTTTTTGATAGATGTATTTGGACATGTTTTCTCATCAGTAGTGTGAAAACTATTTCACTCTAACGATCGTTATAGCTGCTTAATAAGCAATATTCGAATTGGTTGTGACGTTATTGGCCCCCACGTGATCTCTCACTGGTCCCCACTTGGCCCGTTTTGGTCCATTAGATCATGACGTCATAATGCCAAAATGTTTTGTTATTTGTTTACACAACAATCCTATGGTTGCCGTGACGTTGTGATTACTATGGAACCAATAAACCAAAGCTATATTTTGTATATGACGTTACTAATCACGTGGGGGCCAATTTGATTTATCAGTTAGTTTTATTTCGTTATCTATGACCGTTAGCAGTTATCTAACATTTATTTTATAATGGCTATCGCAAGAATTCTACGGTGGGCTTACAATGGAGAAAACCGCATTTTTGTAGCTGCAAGTTGAGAAAAGCTATTTCACTTGTCCTTTAAGCATTTAAAAAAGGAATGAAATCTGAGAGCTAATTTAAACAATAAAGAAATAAAGCATGTAAAGTGGAACACCTCTGAAAGTGGAACAACTCCTAAGTGGAACACTTTTAAAACTACCATTACCCATTAACTTATGTAAAATGAACCTCTGTAAGTGGAACACCTCCATAAGTGGAACATTATTTTGACATAACTATATTTGTTTTCCTGGTAAATAGCAATGTTTTGTCAATTATCTCAGATCCTGTGTAATAGCCTAAGGTCATAAGAAGTAGATTCTTTGTTTTGCGTCCCCTTGCTTGCACGATTTTGAGTAAATCAGAAAAAACAAACACATCCAAATAGCAATCACAAGGGTCTGAAAGTACCATCGCATTTGTTCAATCTGAATCAGACAAAATGGAGGATAATTTGACGCACGTCAAAATTGACGGTGTTATTGATTACTTTGGCATACATTGTGTAATTTTCTTATTTTTTATCCTTGAATAATAGCTATGATTAAATATATTGTATAGATGTATAGATATGTGTTTGTGTTTGTTTTCCTTGTACCCTTGCATGATTTGGATTTTGCTAGGATGCAAAACAAAGAATCTACTTCTTATGGCCTAATATCATAACTGTCACTAAGATTTAAAAATGATAGATCAAGTTCTGTATTCTTTGAATTAATTCAACATACAAGAGATCAGATTGCAAAATGTCATGTAATATTTATGATACCTAAATAAGTCATAAGATTTTATATAATGGTCTAAACCAGGGCTCTCACCAGGAAATATTTAGGGTGTGGTGCTAACATTTTCAGAATAACCGTTCAGTCGTGATAAATCATATTTATGTTATGTTTTATCCTTTTTAAATGTTTTACATGCTATTATTGTATATTCAGTCAAGTTTAGACTGTGGAAATAGTCATGATTTGCCAATAGGGTGTGGAGGGAGCTAAATCAAAATAGAGTGTGGTGCTGCGCCACAGTCTAAAAGCCTGACGAGAGCCCTGTAAACTCTTTGAAATCAAAAATATTTTTGTGGAGGAGAGCATTGCAATTGAATTGAATGCAGTTTTATACGCAATTGTATTGGCTATGTGCCAAAATAAAAGATAAAAACTGAAAGACTGATTCAACAATCAACATGTTTACTGAACTGCATAAATGTCATATTGTCGCTCTCATATTTTTCCCATTAATTTCAACATGTTACTTCCTCCATGAAGTGTAACAA